AGCCCTTCTGAAAGCGGCTCACTTAGATTTCTATGAAATACAGAATTTAAAGTTAGTAGTAGTCAATGCTATTAAAAGTATTGCATTAAGATACATGCACATCCTCAACAGAAGTTTTTTTTTTCACATCTTAAAACCAAGGTTGTTTTATTTTTTTTAAATCACTTTCTGGTTTCTTGTGCATTGTCATTTCATTTGTATTCTGCAAAACCCTTTTCTGCTTGTAAGGTATCTCAGTTCAGTTTGTAGCACTCTTTTTTCCCCGATGCTGAACCTCCTTTGAGCAGAAGCTATCTTCAGTGTTGAATTTTGCAATGTTTTTTTAAAGTATAAAAAAAACCCTGCTGGAACGTAGGTTGTAATCTCAAGCTTCCAGGAGTTAGATAAGTCTACATCTCTTCTGTTTTGGCACTCTGACAGTAAATTTCCCCATAAACATATTGCCTGTCGACAGAATTTTGTAGGTAAAGCAAAATTGTCTTTAAAATTTAGCAGCCTGTGCACAAATCTGTTTCTGTCCTTTACTGGAATTATGATATGAAAAATTAGTGACATTTATTGCTCATTCTATGGCCATTACTTGTCATAAGGAGTGGAGTTGTGTATGGCTTGGATACAGTCTCTGAGTATTACCTTTCAAAATCAGACATCAGCATTATTTTTGTGATAGATAACACTATTTTAAATCATCAGTTATTTATTCCATAGTGTGTTACTGTTCTTTTATTTGACAAGAAATAGTGTTACCCTCACATGACTCTTAAAGTATGGGCCTGAGAGAATGGATATGGGAGATTTCTGAACCAATTTGTCCTCTGCTACTGCAAGCAATCTCAGCCTATCACTTCACATTTCAGCTTGTGAAATGTTTGGGTCTATCATCTTAAAACTGAAGTTTTATTTTGGTTTTGTCATTCCTTTATTCTTCTGCATTGTTCAGAAATGGCAAAAGCTGAATGTGATCCTGCCCGATGCCTGAGCATAATACTTTGTGTTTCTGTGAATGGTAAACTGCTCCCAGTCAATCTGTTTCAGTCTGCTGAATAATTTGGCTTCGTATCGTAGCACTGTAATGTAGTTCTGTATCCTAGGATGTGATCATTATCGACCTTCTTTGTGGACAGAGGACTCCTCCACCTTCATGTCTCCCGGTTTGCCTTCCCTTATTTCTCTTTGTAAAAGCATAATTAAAATCTTCCCTCCATTCAGAAGTAGTCTTAATTTTAAAATAGTCTAATTATGGGCTTTATTCAGAGGAAAAAGCTCCAAGAAGATGAAGAAGTATTGCACAGATAATGGATTGTGGCATCAGGCTGAAAAGTGGTGTCACACATAACGCTGTTGCCCTACTTACTTGTTTCATTGGCTGAAAGTTTTAATTATAGCTTTTTTTCTGTCTGGTGACATGTTAAGTGCTCAAAATGTCAGGTCAAAGGTTGGGAGCTAATGATTTAGCTAAAAATAACTACAGAAGTGTTATTTATACCTGAGAAAGAACTCAGGGTGTTGTTACTTGTGTTTTCTGGGGATTTTTTCCTTTGTTTTGTTTTGGTCTTTTGTTTTTTTTGTTGTTGTTGTTGTTTTTAATGCAGCCTGATTATGAAAATTTCATTTGGCATAAGCAGAGGTTATATTTTAGACTGACCATTGCTTATACCAAACTATTAAAAATAATTCTCACCACATTTCATGCACTATCCAAGGTATTTTGGTTCTATTTTACTTGTTATTTTCTTTTCAACGTGGCATTTTGCTGCTTTAAAGTTTAATGACATCAAAGAGCCCTCCGCTGAGCTGACACGGCTGCCTGGCAGGACCACCCCACCCTCCTTCTTGAAAGACTCAGTATCTTGCTACCTGTGGTAGGACATCCATATGCCAAGTCTTCCCTAGGGTTGTGGCAGTAACAGTTCATCCCCTGCTGCTCTTGCGTTTGGGGTGTTGTGTACACTGTCCTCTCTCTTTCTTCAAATGTCAAGTGTGATCTTGGCTGTTTTGTTGTGTTTTCCTTTCTCTCTGCCAAAAAGCAGAAAGAATAATATGCTAGAGGATGGTTACTCCAGTGTGTTATAGCAAAACAATGGACTAATGTACTTCTGAAGACAAGAGTGGCTCTGAGCGTGGATGGAGCGCTGGCGGGGCGATGCGAGAGGACTCTGCTGCAGACAATGAGCCAGCCCTTTGTTTCTCATGATTGCCGTAGCTGCTGCAAACACAAATATTCGTTGCAGAAGAGATGGCAGCAGCGCTTTCAGCTTGCACAGAGCCAGCCCTATCTTCTCTAGGCAAATTTATGAAAAGTGTATGTGTATGTGTACTTAGTAATATAATAATGGATCCCTTATTCCTGAGCACATGAATGAGTGCTAAGGAGAAGAGTACGTCTTCGTATCTTATGACGTGGGGGAAGGAAACTCTAGGCTAATTAGCAGCAGTATTCTTAAGGAGAGATTATTTCAACCTAATTTTGTCATGACCGTCTTTGAAAACATGGAGCTCGCTCCTCTGCAGCACTCTGAAGAGCCTAGTGTTTCCTATCACTCCTGAGCTCCCGAGGAGGGATGGGGGGCTGCAAAACCAGTGTGCACCTTCCACGCTCACACACGTGTCCTTCAGGGATGTGACAGCTGGAATGAAATACCTTTATTTCTATGTTCCCTTCTTGGCAACAGAGTTAGATTTTTTGTTGACAGTTCTGTCAGAAGTCTGTAATACTGAGGTTGCATTACTTTGTTTTCTGAAAGCCTTCTGTGCTTTGGGAACTAAGCTAAAAATAAGCTTAATCATCAGAGGATAGATTTCATAGGACTTGAGCTTCATGAGGCTTCATATATTTAATGATATTCAATATATGAAACAAAGCTGGTGATCTACAACTGAAAAGCTTGTTATGTTGTTGCCCATCTCCTGTGTTAGGCGGCTCCTGAAATCAGACCAGAAGTTTCATATTTTATAGTGGTATGGTTGGGTTTTTTTCCCTATGTGAAAGAGCAGTGGAGGAATAAAAGAAAGAGCACTGCCTGTCTTCCGAAGAAATCGTTCTCTGTTTTTGACTCACTGCAGGAACTGTCTGTGTGAGAGGAAAATTGTTTGTTATTAGTTGTCTCATTTAGGTCTTTGGCTGGACTTATCTCGCGTCCTTCCGCTGCCCTTTTTGAACGTGAGCATCCATACAACTCGCGCCACCCCCTGACGTGCAGAGCTGCAGGCTGTCCCTCATGCATGTCTGTCTGTTGCCAGTGGACTCAAGAAGGGGGGAATGGGGAAGAAGCAAGAGCGTTTCTTTATCCTTTCCCAGCTGGAAATCTTCATTGCACCACAAACCCTCAGGAGCGTGGGCAGCAGGCTGGATGGCTGCTGTAAGGAAAGGTCTCATAGGCGGGTGTTTTCATTTTCCTGTGGCCGAGACTGGCATCTCTGGCAGTTCAGTCTGCGTAACCTGGACTACGCACAACCTGGTATCAAGCTGAACAGTTATCCTTTCCCACAACTTTCCCACTGAGACTGACAGCTTGGTGTATGTGAATGTGTGAACTGTGCTGTAGTCATTCACACCTACCGCATGTGTTAAATGGAAGGTGAGAACATAAAATTAGGTTGCTTTGATCTTCTTAACGCTTTCCTATTAAATTTAAATCAGCACCCAGCTATTTAAAGTAATTTCCTTTTCCCAAAATGTGGAAAACCTGCTTCAGCCAATGCCTTTGCTCGGTTAAACGAATGCCACCTTGGCTCTTCGGGAGATGCACGACGTAGCCAGTGGCTTCTTTAGCCACTTACATCTTCGTGCCACACGAAGTAGGTGCTGGCATCATGCTCTTATCTGGGGGCTTGGGGATGTTTTTGAAGATAGGTAACAGCTTGAGAGTAACAACGTGATCTGTAATTTAGCTTCGTAATTTCATCAGCAGCTTTTTTACAGAAACCACAAATAGTTTTTCCATGCATGTTTCTTCGCTTCCCCTGCACAGCATTTACTGGTGGCCTCAGCAGGCCTTGGGAGGCTGTGCAGACTGTCTATGTGCTGCCTGAACATGTGCGTGCCCAAAATGTCATTCACAGTTACTGTGCTATGAGTGCAGCATGGTCGGGGGCTTGGTCATACTTTCTGAGTTCCAGCCCCAGCTCTGAAAATCTTTGGGGTAAAATTTTATTCCTTCTTTCTCTGCTTTCCAGTATGTAAGGTAGAGTTAAGCTCACCCAGCTCATAGGAGTATTTTGAAATATCATTCATTTTAACTTTTGCTTTGGAAATATAAAATACTATATAAAGCATGTATGGTGTTTATTTTAAAAGATTCAGGCTATATAAATGCTAATTTCTATCCTTGTTATTTTGTAGTGTGTTTATTAGTCATACAGTTGGGGTTTATGGATAGAGCCCTCTTTGAGATGCGAGAAAATTGCTTTAGTAGCAAATGGAGATTAATTTTTTTAAATGAGAAGAAATTACTTGACAACAAAGGGATCGTCTTCACTCCAGAGCTGCTATTTGTGTCCTGAACAGCCCTGCTTGAATTTTTCAGATTCAGAACAATTCTGGGAAAAGTGATTGGTGATTAGACCAGAAGGACGAAAGGTTTCTATTGCTGGCTCTGCTGTTGATTTCTCTATCTGTAAGATGGCATTAATGATTTTTACTAATGAGCACTGATAATTTAGTGGAGCACTTTACCAGAGACTCTGGATGGAAGTAGCTGCAGAAGCACGTAGAGAACAGTGGTAACAGGTACTTTACTGTAGCCAGGTTCTCCAGAGCAGCTCTGCTGGCTGGCTGGACTGTGGTGGCCGCATCCATCCCGACTGAGCGTCCTGGTCACAGGCAGTCCCATCGGCCCTTCGGGCAGCTTGGTCACTAACAGCCGCGTTTCTGCCACATGCATTTACATTTTTGCTGCATTGCTAACGTTTACGGTGGAAGGGTTGCTGCCAAGTTGGGGACACAAAAAATAAGTGTCCTTGAGAGAACAGTGGGTAATTAACATGTCTTTGTGTTTCAGAGATGAGCGAAATCAGTCAATCATTGTCAGTGGGGAATCTGGAGCCGGAAAGACTGTCTCTGCTAAGTATGCCATGAGGTACTTTGCCACGGTCAGTGGGTCTGCCAGTGAAGCCAATGTTGAGGAGAAGGTCTTAGCTTCCAACCCCATCATGGAGGTAAGAGAGCTACTGCAGTTATTATTCTGGGGCTAACATAAGCATTCAATAGAGAGAGCAATCCATACTTTTTTAAGGATCAAAGAACCTAGAGTAAATATATTTTAAAATTTTCTTTTTAATCCGTTTACTGGGAGGTGCTTTAGGTATCATTTTGTGTAGTATTTATGAAAGACTGAGAGAAGATGGGAGGTAATGTTTCAGTATTGTTAATGTATTTCACATAACAAAGAAATTTTTGTATGAATACTGCTTTAAATCTATTCAGCTTTGTAAAACTGGTAGTTCTCAGACCACTGGCCAAATGCAAGTGCAGAATACTGGTTTTGTGTGTGAAATTGCAAAGAGGATTAAAACTTCTGGTCTTACCCACCGAACGTGTACATCACACAGTGGGGGCAGGTAGATTATACTTTGAAGTGGAGAGTTGTTGAGTAAAGCAAATGTTCAATTTTAGGAAATGTGATTAGGGAAGAGACTGAGAGAGCAAAGTTACATGAGATGCACACAGTTTCTTTTGGAGGGGGAAAACATGGCAGAAGATGTAATTTTTCTATAATGAGCTCAGACTAATGTTTCAGTTCCGGAAGTTTGTGTAACTAACTGTAGTCAAGTCCCAAAGCCATTGGCCTGGGAGCGTAGGTGCTGGCAATAGGCCATGAGATAACATGTACAGTGCCCTCCTGCTTCAGGATCTCTGTTCTCCGGGAAGCTCAGGAGATGCTGTAATTCTGACGTCGTGGCCAAGCAGAAAACATTTCTTAGGCTCATCTGACTTGTTTTTTGTGTCTTTGCCTTTGTGTAGATTCAAGTTGTAGCTGAAGTTAAGGAACTATGTTAAGAAATGATTCACCAGAGAGAAACAGTCTTGGGGGAATTCCTTGAGAGAAGTAGTGCTGTCTCCAGGCACACACATGCCTGTGGACAACCTAAGAAAATGCTTAGGACAGCTGAAGCTTTGGTAAATGTTTAGCGTCTCTATGCAATAGTGTGAAGTATTAGTGGATAGACATGAGTAAATGGAGTGCGCGCAGCAAAACGTGAAATGCAAAATGCTGCCATTGTTTTCTTTCTCAGGCATTTTTAAAAATGAACTATGTTTTATTCCTTCTTTCCTCCTGGCGTGAGGAGTTCATGATACTCAAACTATAGCTGTCCCATCACAGTTTGTGTTCTGTCACAAGGTAATTGTGCCTGGTTTGTGGTGCTGTGTGGTGTTTTCAAACTGTTTTGTGGGATAAACCAAGCTGTGCCATGATGAGCAGATGGCTCTGCTGTTGTGGGATCCAAATGTCCAGCTATGGGAGGAAGCCAGGGGAGCTGAGCCTTGTCTTGAGCTGCACCTACCCCAGCGGGAGCAGCCTGGGCCCTGGGGAGCAATGGCAGTTTTGCAGGTGTGAGCTCATCCCAGAGCACCCCTTTCACTGCTCCAACGTTTGCAGTAAGTGTCATACTTGGCCACGTTGAGATTCGGAGCGTGGCTAACAGGACCAGAGGTGCTGAACACCCCTTCTGCCTTCCCCTGCATACCACGAAGGTGGTACCTGGGGCCAGGCAGGCGGCCGCGTCCTCACCGCCTGTCTGCTAAGCGACAGCTACGGTGAGAGACCCTGCAGGATGGGTCTGCAGTTTGCTATTTGTTTGCTGGGTGAAGTACAAACTGTCTGCAGGTTTCCCTGCACTGCTTCTTTCGTTTGGTCTCACAGCCTAAACCAAAGATCCTTCTCTCTCACTCCTTGGACCCCACCTCCCAGTCAGTGGCCATCAGCTCACCACTAATGGTCTGATTTCATTTCCAAAGCAAGGAAATTTAAATTGAGGACTAGAAATGAACTTCCCATCCATACCTTTTTTTTCACACTAAAAAACAATGGTGGTGCTTTATTTTTATTTTCTAGGGATAACAACAATTTCGTGAACCTGGGTATATCTAAAATTTCAATTGCTTTAAACATTGTTATAATTGGATGAAAGTTATTCTTTTAACTTCAAACACTTGAACTTTAAATAAGCTTCAGAGTGCGTGTAGTGAAATCTGGTGTTGAGACAGACTCTAGGACAGCAAAATTAATGTTTTGAACTCTTCAGTTGATAAATCAGCAGAAACACAAATTAACCCATGTAGATTAGGAGGAAAACGAGTAATTCATTTTAGAAACAGGAAAATCCTCATTTGCTAAGTTGATTGTAAAATCTTAGGAGCAGAAGGTGATTTAATTTTTTTTATTTCTATTTGGACAACCTAAACATCAGCATTTGATCAGTGACCATCATTAGTGTCAGAATTTCACATCATCTTTGCCTAATAAATACTCTGTAATGTCAAGTGACCGCTATACATTTCTAGCAACTATTTGAATAATTGGTTTTGTAGTCAGTAACTACATACAGTTTTCCTATTGCAAATGTAGAAATTGTCAAGTCTTAAAACACATCTTTATATGTAATTTCCTCCCTCTCATTCTTTGTTACCCTGTATAGCTATGAGAATTGTACAGCTTAGTATGTACTCTGGTAAGCAATCTTATCATAGAATCACAGAATCACAGAATGCTTTGGGATGGAAGGGACCTCTAAAGGCCATCCAGTCCAACCCCCCTGCAATGGGCAGGGACATCTACAGCCAGATCAGGTTGCTCAGAGCCCCATCCAGCCTGGCCTTGAATGTTTCCAGGGATGGGGCATCTACCACCTCTCTGGGCAACCCCTTCCAGTGTTTCACCACCCTCATAGTAAAAAATTTCTTCCTTATATCTAGTCTGAATCTACCCTCCTTTAGTTTAAAACCAAATCTACCCTCCTTTAGTTTATACTACCAAAGACTTTCTTAACTGTTTTTATAAGTAATACCTTTCAAAGTAATAATTGGTTTCTGAAAATATTGTAATATTATATTGCTACCACCACCAACAAAATACATCACAGTAGCAATAATTTTAAAACACAGGAAATGCAGTTTTGAGTACGTTCAGTTTGAATGAATTCAGTACGTATTAGAACTGCAGAGATGCAGTGTGTTCTTACGTCCTTTATAGCAGCTGTTCATCTGATGCCCACTTTGGCATCTGCTCAGTCGGGCCTGCGTGCTGCTGCTGCTGCTGTAATGGGGCTTCTGAAAGTCTAATCCCCGCTCCCGTGCTGTACCTGGCTAGCCCTTACTGATTCACTGGCCTTTTGTTTACAGATTTGGAATACCGATACTCAGCATTGCTATTTGCTCTCATTTGTTTTTCCTAAGTTTTGTTTCTGTACAGAGTTCCTATGGATGGCTACGTGAACTAGGAAACTAGGACATAGATACAACTCTGCATTCTTTAGTTATGGTGCACTTCGGAGTTAGGTGCTTGATAACATACAGGCAGTGGCATATGATGAAAGGCAGTGTGCTGTATCTGAATTACTCCAAATGCCATTCCTTTTGATACAGAGATATCTTTAGGATTTTTTTGGAAGGTGAATTGCTATATGATGTCTAAAACGTGATCTAATTGAGAAGAGAAAATGCTTTTCTTTGAAGTTCAGCATGTTGTGATTTGCATGCCTTGAATTCTGATATATCCAGCTGGCACCTGTTGCGGGGTGAATCCTAATGCTGATGAGGTAAGGCAGAGGTGCACCAAGACCATTTAAGAACCACAGTCATCATTTGCCCTGGGCATCCCAAGACCGTGTACTATAGAGGAAATAATACATTGAATATTGTTTATTGTGTATGAAGCTGTATTGAATTGACCTAAGAAAGTCAGGCACGTAGGGCAGCATCGAAGACTGTCTCTGAGTCAGTAACCAAGCTGCTATGGAGGAGATTCAGGTTCAGGCAAATGACATGAGTCTGTACATGTTAATTTTTAGATTATATTTAGGCACAGAGTAAATATTTTATAATGAAGTGTTTGTAGAAGTAGTTTGGAAATGTGGTTGATTATAGAGTAACGATAATAATAAGCTGTTAGCCAGGCAGAATACAGGGGCTGTTTGCTGGACTATGGGTTTATGATAGGTAGACATACAGACGTTGGAAGTGCTATACATATATCTACACACATACATATATGAATATATACAGCGTGAAATAATTGTTACAGTTTCATTATGTCTTTAGGAGAAATCTGGGTGTATGTGAGCGTTCTGTTAGACTCTTTAATTCCTTCTAAAAGACTTAAGAGAGCAATAAAGGATTTTTAGCTGGAAAGTTAGACTATGTGGAAGTGAAATCTTTGCTAGGAAGATCAGCTCCCAATCTTGTGTTAATGAAGTAACCATATTTTGATATAACTTGCTGACCAGGCAGAGATTGTTCTTTATTAAATTCTTGATTATTTTGAAACCAGGACAAAATTAATGTTGTTAAGTGCTTATGAGCCATGTAGATGATTGAATAGATTTGATAATTTCTAAAAGCTGTTTAACCTTTACAATATTCCCTTTTTTCAGTCTATTGGAAATGCCAAAACTACGAGGAATGACAACAGCAGTCGCTTTGGGAAATACATTGAAATTGGCTTTGATAAGAGGTATCGAATCATTGGTGCTAACATGAGAACTTACCTCTTGGAAAAATCAAGAGTGGTGTTTCAGGTAATACTGATGCAATCTTCTTGTATATTTGTGTGACTATGCTAAAAAAAAAAAAAGCTATTGCTTGTTGGTATTAGTTATCTCTCCTAAGAGATGGCTTTAATAGTGTATTTGTAACATAGCACATGTGGAGAGGGAGGAGAAAAGGTAAACCAAGTCAGCCCTTCGTTATATGAATTATTTGTAGTTGTAAAATGGGTATTAAAAAGGCTGTGTATTTAGATATGAAATACTTTCATTGCACTACTAGATATGAGTTTGTGCTTCCCATAGTATTATAGAATAGGGCTTCAAAACCTAGCAGAAACCACTCATGCTCAAGAAGAGCTCTCTGTGGTAGTTTGTAAAGCTGCCGTCTTTCAACCTCTTGTTAAAACCCACTGCTATCGCAATAATTGTGAATGAGTCTTAATTGCCATTCTTTAGGCAAATGGGAATACGTAATTTCATCTTTCTTGAACTCTCTTCATTTTGGTATTTCATACTTGAACCGATCCACGACCTTTTCATCTCCCACACTTCCTCTCCATCTTCGCCTCCCTTATATTCTAGCGCTCAGTAAAAATGACTTCATTAAAAATCAAGCCAATCAAAATGAATTGATTAAAATATCCTTGACTGGCTGCCTAAAGGTATAAAACAAATAATTACAGTTTGCATTGTTTAGGGGTGTTACGTGAAGTACTGCTGTATATTTTAAAAATAAGAGAGACTTCTTGCACATGGTTTAGCTGGAAGAGAGTCTTTTTCTGTTTTTCTTTTTTTTTGTTTTGAAGTTATGAAATTTAGAGCGCTTAAGTTCAGAATTATGATGTTGGTCATGAGTCATAACCTTCTGAGCTGTGTTTGTCCTTCATTTTAAAATTCCAGCTTTGCCTTGGCAAGAAAGATACTCCCTTCACCAGCTTACTATAAATGCTGAGGCGAATGGTATTAGTTATTTTTGGAAAACGAAAAGCTTTTAAGTATAATCATTTCACCCACCCATAGAATCCTGATCTATATTTAATAGTAATCCACAGTTCTGAAAAGTGAAATCATACATTTTTTTTTAAATGAAAATATCTGCATGCTTCTTGCTGTCGAAAATGGATTAAATTAATCAAGAAGGAAATGATAGATGCTGATTTATCTTTCCTTTTTCCATGTGGCTTCTATGCTCTTAATGTAATGCTAGAGAAAGCATTAAACAGAGTAATTCTTTTCTACTCGTGGATGTTTCTGGCACTTGTTAAGTTGTGAAAAATAATCAATTCCTTTCTTTTTAAAGGCAGAAGAGGAGAGAAATTACCACATCTTTTACCAACTTTGTGCCTCTGCAGCATTACCCGAGTTTAAAACTCTACGATTAGGTATGAAATTCACATTCATTGTGTTGTGCTATTGTAGCTACAAAGCAGCACCTCTGAGCTTTTTGAGCCATAGAACCAAAAGAAGAATTGCTGGCTTTTCAATTCTAAACTTGTAAACCTTCAAATACTAAAATATATTGAAAATAACTAAAATGACAGTTCTCAGACTTTGTGTTTTTTAGATAAAATGAAAGTAACCGATTTGTTTATTCAGCATACTCTAATACACTGCAGTTGTAATCACTAGGACTTACTATGTCCTGGATTCCAGAGCAACTTTCTGGTGGTGAGGGTGAAATTCTCTTCTCTTGGTCCTTTAAAACCTTTTTTCCATGGCTCCAGCTACTAGAGAATTGTACTATTTCTGGTATAAGCACCTGAAAAGCTTATTTTGCATCTGCATACTTTCACTTGGGCTGTTACCAACGATTACTTTACCATCTCTGCTAACCTGGTGATCACAGAACTGATAAGAGAAATTTTTCATTTTTCAAATTAAAATGTTGATAAAGGAAAGGTTTCTCATTTAACAGGAATTGGTACTTTGTAAAAGAAAGGCATGATGATGACCTTGGGACAGGCAATCACCTCATCATTTTTAAAATTCAATATAAATTTCAATGCTTTTTGTGTATTTTTAAAAGTTAGCTTCATAGTGGGAAAACTGCACAGCCTGTCAGTGCTGGTTTCTGAAATACCGTTCTGGTTTTAAAGCGTTTCTCTGCTCTTCTGCACCATCCTGGCACATTTAGGATTCACATCTGCTGACACAGGAAAGAAAGGAACTGATGTAATTATAACTAAAGAAGCCATTTAGCAGACTCCTCTTTCAGCGTTCTTGAAACCTTCGCAGATCAGAAGAAAAGGAGTCTGTTACTGCAGCTGGAAGCATGGCCACTGAAACCATAGGAATTTACACAGTACCCAGGAGAGCTACTGCTCTCCCAGTGAAGCCCAGTGCTGTCCCCAGAGTGGTATGAAGCTGTCAGTTCTCCAACCATGACTTCTCAGCTAGAACAGATCACATATACTCAGAAAAATAAACTAAACCATAAATGAGAAATCAGAAGGAAATGGGCAAAACAGGATTTTTAAAATATCATGATGCAATAATAGCATAGTAATATCTGCCGCATAATTCCAAAGCGCTGCTGCTGTCAACTCTGCACCTACCACGTGGGTGGTTGGCTCAGACTTGGAGAGTAATTGCTTCCAAAGTGATTATTCCAGAGGTGTGGAAATCTGAACCAAGGTTAGGTGGAGAATATGCTTGAGGGCCTATTGTAGGAACCAGGTAGCTTAAGAATACTTATTTGCGCTGTTAAATCTTGCAAAAATCCTTCTCCAGAATAAGTGGGTCCTGTGAGCCAGGAGGCAAAAATATACTGACATATTTCAAGTCATGGATTCTGACAAGAGCAACGTAATCATTACACAGCTTTACGGATGTGCTGCGAATTTCTGCATCAGTGTGGGTAAAAGATTTGGTTTTTCTCTTACAGGGAATGCAAATTACTTTCACTATACGAAGCAAGGTGGAAGCCCTGTGATTGATGGTGTTGATGATGCTAAAGAAATGGTAAACACCAGGCAGGCCTGCACTTTGCTAGGTAATTTGTAAAACAGTCATATCCGAAAGCCGCTATACTAGCGTTTTCTACATTGTTTGTGTATATTTTCTTCATACTCTGTTGTGTTTAAAAACAGGAGAGTTTGATAAACTCTGGGATGGAGATACTTTTATTGCATTAAGAAAGTATTTAAATTGCAGTGGAATCACATATCTAGTGTAGGAGGAGCAGACTTTATATGAACATAAATGGTGGATTCCCTTGGGATAGCATATACAGTGTTGGAGGTCACTGACAAAGCACTTTGAAACAGCAAATTAAATAGTTCCTTTGAATGGATTTTTTTTGCATCTGGTTGTAAAATGTGTTTAATCGGAGTGGAGCCAAGCAGTACTGGCAAATGACACTGTCTGAAAAAAACACGCAGTGGTCACCGTTTTTCTCTTTTTAATAAAATTTTTCATCAACTGCAGCTCATAGTTCTGTATTTCTCTCTCCATTCAAAATGTTTTATTCCTCATTTTTCAGGGATTAGTGATTCCTACCAGATGGGAATTTTTCGAATCCTTGCTGGCATCCTTCACTTGGGCAACGTGGAGTTTGCATCTCGGGATTCTGACAGCTGCGCTGTTCCTGTGAGTAGCAGATGAGCTGAAGGGCATGGTTTCTACTCTGACAGTTCTACCTTCTGCTTGTTTGCAGGGACCTCTTCCGAAAAAGAGTAACAATATAAAAACGCAGCAATGTGTTTGTTTCTAATTTGTTTACATTTTCACAGTTCTTTTTGCAGATGGATTCAACTCTTCTCAGTTTAGAGGCTTTAGACAGTGCTCTCTGTATTATGACAGCGGCTGCCTTAATTTCGTTTTGAAACTGTAATTGATCTGTCCTAGAAAAGTCTACCAGACAGGCTAGCTTTGAAGTCCTGGGCAGGTGTCTAGATCTTTATGTTCCTACATGAATACATTCCCTGCCCACAGTAAATGCTTTGCAGGATGTTTTTTTTTTTTTTAACGTTAAATGCCAAAATGGCCTAAATAATTGCAAAGCAAATGCTTCGCAAAGTCCTCTGGGATGTCTAGACATGAGCATAGGATATACAGATATGATTCGTGTGACTCATCTAAGTGTTGTGGTTTTATCAGTCCTTTTTTGCCTTTGTGGAGGTCAGCAATGAGGACTGCATAGTCTGATCTGAAAAAAAACCTCTTCATTCAGTGAAGACCAAGGCTTCTTAGTGAAGTCCATATTCTGGAGATGAGACACAAAAAAGATCTGGCTTGTCACTCTTCTCTTCCTTGGATTCACAAGTGACCAGTTTCTCCTTTTGCCTTTCCTTGAATGTCTACTGCTGGACTTCATCTTTCTCTCTCTTCAAATAGTAGCAACAGTTGCAGGGTTTTTTTCTCATTTTACTATCAGTTGCTTTCTCAAGAATCTGCAGTAGCAGTTTCTGGAGCTGAGACAACAGGTCCTTCATCGAGCCACAGCTGATCAGTGTGCCTGGTCTGACACCATCTGTCCGTGGGATCTAATGGATAGCTGCTGTGAAACCACAGCAATAGTCTGGCTCTTGGGTGTGTCTTAAAAAGGTTTTCACTACAAAGAAAGCATCATCTAATGATGACAGGTAGAAAGCTGATGGGCCCCAGGACATGATGAGCTAGCCTGTGTTGTAATGGGTGTCTCCAATGCAGGAATCCCACTGAATGAGCTAGTACAAAGCTGCAAGTTCCTGTGCAATCCTATCCTGATGTGGTAAACGTCTAGCAGGCAGCGGGTGAATGTCTGCTCAGTGGCATCCGCTACCTGAGCTGTGCTGTTCTCTGGCGATAGCCGTGTCATTGCAGAGCTCTGTCGCCATGCAGACCTGTCTGCCTGGCAAGTGCTGGCGCGGTGATGCAATGGTGGTGCTTCAGGGAGCTCAGCGAAGGGCTCCACGTAGTGCTGTGTGAATGAATCAGTTTGTTCAATGTCAGCTTGAGTAGCCCTAATGTGACACTCTTTTGTGCAGTGTTCATTATTATTATCACTTTATTGTTGTATTCTGAGCCAGTTAAAGCGCTATGGCTAAACCAAAAGAAGACATGCTCAGTTAACTAGATTTTGGAGGTGTAACAGCACTGCTATGGGACCTGTATGCTGTAAGGACTGGAAGAAGCCCTAGAGAAGTCAGAAGGATGTGGAAATAGAAAGATAAAGCTGACGTACCCTGAAGCTACCGGGCATGTAGTAACAGTCCCCTGTAACCTGTCCTTGTCAAGACGCTGCTTGTCAGCGTGCTGTTGAGCCACCAGGTGCAAAGTGAATGTGATGAGGAAGTAGTGTTAGGGGAGTTCCTTAGGAGGAAAGACCTGTCTGTCCTCCTTGATTTCTAGCTGTCGGTTTTCTTGTTAGTCACGAGGTGCAATATCTTAACTCATTGAGTGATGAACGCACTGCATGGATTTTTATGCAGAAATCTTGTATACCCATCTCAGTGTGCAGACCTTGCTGGTTGATTTTACCTGGTTAAACAAAGGTCAGTTTTTTCACTTGTACAGTCCAATTCGAGAGTTAGAGAACATCATTTGTGTGCTCCAATCTCTTAATGTTTGTCTCCAGAATTCACTGAGAAAATACTGTGTTAAATACTGAGACCAGAGCACTAAAGCCCTTCCATGCTTCTTCCTCTTTCTGGATGTATATGAGCAGACGAGTGCACCACTCAGGAGCTGTAGTCCATTCTGTCCCCAGCACACAGCTGATGCCCTGTCCTCTGCATTTCTCTAGCTTCTTCACTCAAAACCGAGACAATTAGTTATAAGAATTCCAAATACCAAGTCCATCCCTGCGAAGCTAGGTGATTCTTTTTTGCAAAGGTTGCAGGTTCCCTGTAGGGGGCTTTTTGGTGAACACAGGTATAGTAAAATGCCTTTGGGGAAACTGTGATTCACTAATTTACTTCAGCGATGTGAATGTGATAAGTGGGTAGGGAACTTGTTACGTTTTGAAGGAGGAAGAGCTGAAGCAGCTGCTGTTGCTGCTTATTGTTGGATCACTGCAGGCAGGCAGTTCTTCTGATTGCATGATTGCATGTGTGCTATTGGTAATACTGTTTCAAGACCTAACGAGACTGTTTTTATTAGCCCAAGCATGAACCCCTCACCATCTTCTGTGACCTCATGGGCGTGGAGTATGAAGAGATGGCCCACTGGCTTTGCCATAGGAAGCTCGCAACTGCCACCGAAACCTACATCAAGCCAATTTCTAAACTTCATGCCATCAATGCCAGAGATGCACTTGCCAAACATATCTATGCTAATCTCTTTAACTGGATTGTAGATCATGTGAACAAAGCCCTTCACGCTACTGTAAAACAGCATTCTTTCATTGGAGTGTTGGACATTTATGGGTGAGTCTTTTTGTCAGAGATATGACACCTCTGACGTAATTATCTTACTGCAAAGCGTCTTTGTCTTTGTCATGTAGCGCTGCATGGATTACACAAAAAAATCCAAACCCTTAGCAGCTGCTTATTCCAGCTGAAGGAAGTAGGTGTTTAGTTTTGACATGCTGTCTAAGATCTTTGTCTTGACTTTCAGGTTTGACGTTTATAGTGGGATTTCAGATTTTTGCTGTTGGTAGTTACTTTATGTATTGCATTGGAGAAAGTTACAAGGGAATTGTCATCTCATGGTTCCTCCAGAGTGGCACTTCTAGAGAGGACAAAGATAACTAACATGCTCTGCAGGAACATCAGTCCCTTCCTTGTGTTCCTCATCTCCGCCTAAAGAGGGAGCAGCACTGGATCGCCCATGTACTGCAATTTGCTATTTCCCTGTGTGCTTCATTGCTTGATTGTGGTTGGTTGTGCCTGGAATAATGCAATGAATTTGACTGGAGGGAGGGAATTTAAAATTATGGGGTCATTTAATCTGTTTTTTTCACTGCACTAGTAATTTTGAGTATCTGCATATTTTAGATTTGAGACATTCGAAATCAACAGCTTTGAACAGTTCTGTATCAACTATGCCAACGAAAAGCTGCAGCAGCAGTTCAATATGGTAAGTAGGAAATGACTGGCATTTCCTCTTCCCTTTCCCCTCACCCAAGTCCATTCTGCTAATTGGGTCCCCAGGGGTTACGATGAATTCCTTCAGTCTGTTAACCAGCTGTCCTGGCCGTGGGCTTTGGGGGATGGGGAAAGATCGACTATTTCCTAGAAATAGATTTTATGACTAACTGCTGCTCTGGGACTATTTGAAATTCCGATCACAGTAACAATTATAAGACAGAAGCAGTGCTTGGCAATTAAGACCCCAAGATTGCCTGTCAATGAGAGCACTGTGTGGATGAAGTTGGAGTTAGCTGTGTCTCCGTAACCTCCAACGAGAGCCTGTGCACGGGCAGCAGAGAGCAGGGCTTTGCTGCTGGAAATCTGCCACCCGCGCTTCCTCTCCTGGCGTTGCTTTTTGAGGGATTTCAGCCGCATCCTGACGGTGATGACTGACGTGTGGAAAGAGCTGCCTCTTCCCCTCCTCCAGAGAGATCACGATTCTCTCTCTCTCTCTCTCTCCTCAGCCTTAGTGACGTTTGTAATTATAAATCTTACCTGCATAATGATGAGGCAAGTTATTTATGCCAGGTCTGTTGCTAGGCTGCGTTGCAGTACAGGAATAGCTTTGAACTCTCTTTACGAGCGTAACTCCATGGCGATGCCTGCTTGCCGGACTGGATCCCCCCGCGCCGTTGTCCATCCCAGCGGCAGGGATGCGTGTCGGGGAGGAAGCCGGGTGCTGGAGCGGAGGCTGGGCTTTCCAGCCCCGGCATGCCCTATCCGTGCTGGTAGTGCCATGGCTTCAGCTTCATAAGCAGGATGTCATAACTGTGAAGCACAAGATATCTCAGAGTTTTCTCAGTTCTACAGCAAAAATCCAGTCACTGTAAGAATTGTAAGGGTTCGCTTCTTTAGTAAAGGTCACCGTCCCCGTGTTCCCTTCCCTCTCGTGCTGTTGCTGCAATCATTTGTCTCATGAAGGATGGGGTAATGGGGCTTTTGTGTTGATGCCCCGCCAAGCCACCAAACCCAGCGCTGGTGGACACAGACGCATTGGGCTGCCATGCAGGTACACAGGGTGGAAGTTGTTTTAAATGAAATCCCTGTGTCTGTGGCGACAGCCAGCAAGCCTTCACATGCCCCCTGGCGCGGCCCGAGGCCAGCGGAGGGCAGGCCGCTCAGGGACTGCCCTGCCACCACTCGCGTCTCCACAGCCTGCCCAGCCTCCCCGGCCACCCTTCCCCTGCCTGGCCACCCACAGCCCGTAAGGAAAATTAGGTCTGAAGACGTTTTTCACCACATAATTGCTAATTCCTTTACAGTGGAGAAATGGTTTTATGTTTTCTTTCAGGACTTAGGCTGGATATGACTCGCCAATAAAACGCTACCATTGGCTTTCCTGTCAGGAATTAACTTGGCGTGTAACGCAGCCGTTAAGCGGCGGGGTGGGAATGGCTCCCGTGGGCGCCATTAAGGAGCGCTGCTTTGGAAAGGATGGCGTTAAGCTAACGAAATAAAAGGGATAAACCGCTTTGTCAGGGTAGTTTTCTGCTGGCAGATGCGTGCCAGAGAGTTGCGAGGCGTTGGTGGGCTTGTGCACTGAGCTCAGGGGGCAGCTGGGGCCGGCTCCACGGGTACAGGTGTTCGTGGCGGCCCCCGACCCCTGCCCACAGCGCTGCTCTTTGCTGCTTCTTAGGGTGGCACCGAGTTCAGTTCTGCCTGCCAGAGCAGTTAGTATGCATTAAAATTTAAATGGGAGATAAAACGTCGTTTAAAATAACTGGAGTCAGCAGTCTTTTTGTTTTTAAAGAGAGTGCCTGTGCTATTAAGACCCCAGTGTGCCTGTTTAATATCTTATCATCTTTTTTTTCTGCAGTTTTAATTCATCTCCTATGCACATTTCATTAAAGCTGTGCAGGTTTTTTGTGATAATATTTTTGAATAAATATACAACTACATTGTTATTGATCTTATACCAGATAAATCTTCCACAAAATTTTGCATAAAGGATTTCTTGCGCTAATACTCCTAGAGTCATTCTTGCAGGTTTTTGCTGAAGAGTATATTTTAATGCAATGCGTCATTTTAGAAAAAAATCAGCAGCCATTTAAGAGAAAATGGAGCTCTGTTCTTTTACAAGGAAATGCAAAAGTATTTATAGTGAATTTTACTTGAAATAGAGCAGTATTCATAACTCCAGAATCATAAATGCAGGGCACATCCTACTTTATAAGTTGCTGTTCCTGCACTTGAGGCTTTTTCTGGGTTTTGTGTTGGTTTTTTTATAACAGAAAAGAGCTTATAGTGATTGTGGGACAATATAGTAAAAAGATAGGAAAAAAATAGACCTTATTTGCAGAGGATATGGATGAGTGCTTTAATTTAGTCTGTTGTTTTTAGGCCAGGAAAAAAGGTTAATTTATTTTTCATATGCTTACTTGTTAAAGGGTGTATTCAGTTGAACTAGTGTGGCACTTGACAGCCTGCATTAATGTGCCAAGATGAATTCAAGTGAGAGTTCGATGTATTTATTCTGCATTTTATTTCACAGAAAACTGTTTTCTTTTTGCCCTGTAGCATGTCTTTAAGCTGGAACAAGAAGAATATATGAAGGAACAAATACCATGGACCTTGATTGATTTCTATGACAATCAGCCTTGCATCAACCTCATAGAGGCCAAAATGGGAATTCTGGATCTGTTGGATGAGGAGTGCAAGGTGTGTGTTCAAGGGCTTTCGTACAGAAAGAGGTCATCAGCTGTCCTGCTTCTCGGGCCTTACAGGGAAAAGTCCTCTGCGCGCAGCCATCCTTTTGACACTCTGCTGTTGAAAGGATTTGGAGAATGTACAAACAGAATTGGCAATTACAGGGAGAGAAAAAAATGGTTTTAGTCATGCTTTTTGTTCCCTCCTCTCCATCATGTGTCTGTATCTGTTTCTGGGTCTCTGATCCAGCTTTGTTTTGACTCTGGCAACTTTCTCTTTCCTAAGTGTAGCAAGTGCAGTCTTCGGTCCTGTCAGCTTTCTTCATATTGCCTCTTGCTTGGTGTCTCACCTTTTGTCTTTTATCTTAGTTTAATTTATGCCAAGCCATGTAGAGGGGATGGCATGTGGTGTCTACTTCAGTGGAAACCCAGCTCGGGGTTCTTGTGTATCACAAAGCATCACAAGCAATCTCTGATGGTGGTGGATGAGTTCTGACCTGCTGAGATGCTGCTGAGTCAGATAACGTACCTCTTGGATCCCCGCCTTCAGGTGTGTGACACTGGAGGCGTTAACATCGTATGTGTCACATAGCAGCAGCTACACCTGCTGCTGGGCTGCGCCCAGGCCAGAGTATTAGAAAGGCAAGGGCATAGCTTGTTACCAGCTTCCTTGCTTATGGCGGTGCTGGAAATCCGAGGAGTTGGAGTTCAAAAGCAAACGACAACGTGTTGTCCCCTGTCTTCTTAGGTTTTTTTGCTACTGAAAAGTTTTCAAGACATTTTAAATGGCTGTGTGTTCTCTTCTGTAGATGCCAAAAGGCTCGGATGACACTTGGGCCCAAAAGCTATACAATACTCATTTGAATAAATGTGCCCTCTTTGAAAAACCCCGTTTGTCAAATAAGGCTTTTATCATCAAGCACTTTGCTGACAAGGTAAGGACTTTTCCTCCGGTATCTCTTTCCGTGGCTGGTGTTGCTGAGCATGTGCACAGGAGGGGATCCTGGGGTGGGCGGCTGTTGCAGGCAGCAACTGGGCAGCAGCATCCCTGGCTCTACTCGGCTTCTTGCAAAATGTGTGCCTGCCTGCACACCCCATCAGGGGAAGAAAGTTGACCTGTCAGCTGTGCAGAGCCAGGAACACAAACAAGAGCTCCTGACTCCTGTCACATGCTGTAGCGACTAACCATCCTTTTTCAAAACGTGGCAGCTTAGTGTATTTGCAATTCACAGCGTAATTGTATCAATTCCAGTTATGCTACAGAAATACACAAAATAGAAAATCATATATCTTACTGTAGTTTTAGCCAAAGAGCAAGAACAAAATGATGTTGGTTCTGCTGCCATCTTAATGTGCAAACAGGAAAGAGGCTAACACATCCTTCTTCATATGTACTGCTCCCAGCCTCGCCTCTGCTGGTCAGTGGACAGCTATTTCTAGGAAGCTGGAAGAGGGGTACCTCAGTGGAGTGCATGCATTGTTCAGCTCCCACAAGACAGCATCAAACTGAGCAACTCTTCAGGTTAAAATAAAATAAATTAAAAATCCTGTTTCAGGTAATTGTCCTGTTAAACAAAGAAGCTGCCTCAGAATATTGCAGCTTTGTCGAAAAAAGTTTGGAGAAGCTCTGGGATTCCTATCAGTAGGTCTGTGTGTGCTGACATGGGGAGTTGGAGGCCTTTATTTGCCTCTGCTTGATTCCTCCCAGGGTCTTGAATTTATGCATAGAAGAGGGCTCCTGTTCTTGCATCTAGTGTTACCTTAATGAAAGCAGCAAGACCATCTCTGTAACTGTTTAGATTCATGAGTTCTGTTTTATTTGGTGGATGAGAGAACAAGAAGGATTTTATTGATATTTCATATACTGTTCATTAGGCTAAACTTTGCTATTTGAAAACAAGGCTTTCCTGTGCCTAGTCTGAGCAGTGGGGGCCAAGGAAAGCTAAAAGTAGCTCCAAGCACATATTGGCAGAGCTCTAAGCTCTGATGCGCTGTCTGTGCTAAGCATTTTATGCTTTCCTGGGTGCTTATGTGAATGCATAGATACATCTTGAAGGAAAAAAATAAAGCTGTAGCTGGCAGGTGAGTAACCTCTGTGCCTTGACGGTCTTCTCTGGGAGAAGGCAGAGATTCTGCTGCCCTCTCGTGGCATTGCCTCCCGCTGTAAGAACATTAATGGTACCCGAGGTGGTGCTCAGAGTGGGCTTTCAGCGGTGGAGAGACCTTCCTCCTTCCTAGGAATTTTTTGAAATGTTTTGCAGCTTGGGGTATGGTGTCGTTGTGTAAGCACCGATAAATGGCTGTACTGAAAGAGGGGCTGCTGATGGCTATCATCTGCTCTGTCTGCTCTGAAAGAATAAAATTGCTATAAGGGTCTGCTTTTGTATTGTATAGTCTGCACTTCTGCTGATACAAGACTGAAGAGTTAGTGTAAGACATGTCATCAGAGTTAGCATACTTATGGTAATTAACATCAAATTCTAAGGTATAGACTTTTGACAATAGTTTTCAGGTTTTGTTCAGCCTTGAATTAGGACAGCAAAATAAATACTAGGTTTTTGTCTGACACTCTGGCTGTTCTTAGGTCCAGGAGACTCCATGGCCCTGTGACAGAGGATTGTTATGTATTGTCACAACATTCAGACTTTTTATGGCTTCTGGTAAAAATAGTCTTTCTGAGTACAAATGAGGCATTTTCATAATAAGTTGCAGGCAGATCTTCTTATTGCCTCTCAGCTAATGAGATGAGATGAGACACTTTGTTCTCAGTTGCGTCTGGATTTCACACAATTTTGCAGCCCTGATAACTTCAGTGAAGAAGATTCTCAACATACATTTTGATTCTTCACCTTTACGGTAGCCATTCAATCATGCTGTTTTACCACAAGCATCTCTCAGCAGTGAAATATACCTGGTATGATACAGTAACAGTATGCATCTGTATATGTTTTAATGTTTTATGTCTTACTGGAAAGCACTCTCTTTGAGGGAAGTCTGTATTTGACAAAGATGCACTTGGGAGCTGATATTTTCAACATCCACAAGAATTATCTGTTTTAAATGTGAATGTTACAGCTGGTGAATTCTGTGCAAAATATTCTTATGAAATACTTTTAATACTTACTTTTTTGGAAAATGATGGTTTTCAGGTGGAATATCAATGTGAAGGCTTTTTGGAAAAGAATAAAGACACGGTTTATGAAGAACAAATTAAGGTCCTAAAATCAAGTAAGGTTAGTATAAGGATTTTCTTTTTTCTTCTTCTTTTGCAGTTGTGAATCCTTGAATTAAGGGTCGTACAAAATTTCTTATAAACCTAGGAAATATTTCTCCCTTAGTATCAGATCAACTGAAATTGAACATAGTTTGTGTTTTACGTGGCTGTCTGTATGAATTTAGAAAGTCCTGTAGCCTAATTTTGCTCCATTAAGATGCAGTCTATATTTAGCCACTGATTTCACAGTTTGGGTTTTTTTGTTGTTTTGTTTTTGTTTTTTTTTTACTGTTCACAAAACTTTGCTATATTTTCTGTAAACACACCAAGGACTTCTAATATACTATAGTAGTATAAGAAGACTTAACAGTTAAGCCCTAATTTTGTAATCTGAAAACAGAAGCTCCTTGTTTATGGCCTGGCAATTGAGCAGAAAATTTCTGGAGTAGAGACAAGTTCTGTTCCAGAAGCAAAATGAGAGAGGAATGAAGTCTATAGACCCTAAGGACATGAACCAGAATTTATGGAGTCTTGCCTTCTATGAAAGAAAGATAACGTCTGAATTGAAAAATACTGTGTGAAGGAATATTATAGAACAGGCCTTCAGTGGCATCATCTGCTTTTTTTAATGGCAAAAATGCTAGTTGTGCTCTTCTGAAATGTAAAGGCAATTAACTTGACATTGCGCTGTGATGGCTGTTGGGAATTTGCTAGCTCTTAGGGCCCAGGAAGCTGGGTATCAAGGACAGGCTATTTAAAATGATGCTATTCTATCAGGAAAACCAACATTTTTCTCTTCTGTTTCTATTCTGAGCAGATATATGAAGCTAAATGATTAAAACATATAATATAATGAAAAACCACAGCAGACCTTCTACTGAGAGAAGTGTTGAAGTGGTTTGAGTGAAGTCAGTTGCTGTGTGCGTGGGAGGCAGGTGGCATCCTCGGGGAGCTGGCAGGCACCAGCTGCCTGTGTAGCTCCAGCACTGCCACGGCGTGGCAGTGAGCTGTGCACGGCGGAGGTGCAGGGGTGCTCCGAGGGATGTATTCCAGTGAATAAATGACCATGGGGACATAGCTGCCATAAGAGCATGACAAGAGCTCGGGCAGGCTCAGTAGGTTGAGTCGATTCAGTCTAAACACTAAGAAACAATATGGTTTTCCCCAATGGTAAATTTTACCAAAACCAGTCTTTTAAAAAAAAAAATCAACTGTGGAGAAAAGATTAGATTAGATTTTCAAAAGAATGTTTCATGTTTATTTTTCAGCAGGCCCTCTTTATTAGCAATTGTAGTGGGATTGCATTTCTGATTTTTATTTTTTTTTGTTGTCGCTGTTTTCTGGATTTGCTGTGCACATTCAACAGAAGGTAATTCTAAATTGAATGCATCATCTGTCATCCTGCCCATGCCCACTCTCACATACAGCTCAAATGCTTCTTTGCTCTCCAGAGTGCATGACACACACTGCTCTTGGCAGGCACTGTAGTGTTTAGCTATCTATTTTGGCCTTCTCTATAAATCTACCCACAGGACCTCTTTGAAGTAGTTCAGTTTCCATGCATGTATCATGAAAGCAATAAAACAGTCCTCAGCTTTTATGCTTGCTACTGGCATGTTGTTAAAATCTTCTGTTGTGGCTCTGTATTGAAAGAAATGATCTGTAAGATTGTTAGCAGCAAGTCTGTTAAGTCGTCTGAAAAAATTACAGGGAAAAAATGCTTGCTTGCTTGCTTGTTTTCTACCACGTGAATTATCTGCCCTTTGATCAGTGTTTTCCCTCTCTTTGAACACTCCTAGTCTTCTGTGAAACAAAGAAAATTGATGAGATACTAAAATCCAAAACCAAACGAAAACATGAACCCCCCCCCCGTGTGGATCATCTCAGCAATGCTGTCCTGTTGTTGACTTCTGCTGCAGAAGGCCATACGTTGCTCCTTTCTTCTGCATGCAGTAACTGAGGCAGTGTCTATGAAAATGGTGCCTTTGAAATGCACTTGCCCATTTTTACAAGCAGATTTTCCCAGAGTTGGAAAAAGGGAATGAGACTTATGCACTGATAGCTTAGAAGACCTCATCCATCTGCAATCCAGACACTGGGGACCCCCTTCCCACCCCCACCCCTGGTGCGTGAGAGCATCAGGAGCTTCAGACAAAGCATATTGCATTCAAGTAAGTTTCTGTATGGGATGAAAAGACTTGGCTCTGTAGCTCAGATGCCTGTGCATACCGACTCGCTCCATCTGACTGCAGGCAGCTGAATGAAGTGGTGGTGGCCCAATCATCCTGAACTCTTTGTTGAGGCAGTGGAAGGAGATGGGCTAAATCACCCTCTGGAAATGTCATGCTTCCACCAGCTGCAGAGGTAATACAGCAGACTCAGGGGAGATACAGCTAAGGTGTGATACTCCTTTTTCAGTTCAGGAATTTAGGATACCTTTGTAGCATTCGTAGTCATATTATGCTGGAGTGCTGTGCTAGATGCTACTGAGGAATGTTTGATGCCTTCTGCTAGCCCATCTGGCACAACCACAGAGCACAAGTACCATTTTGTTGCAGCAGCATGTTTCATTGGATATTGTGCATGCTCACCAAGTTTTATAAGGCAAAACCAATTTTTTTATTTTTTAGGTTGTACTTAGCCCAAGCACTTTCTAGTACTGAAAATTGAATGCTCCTATCTCTTGGGAGAAAATGCACAGATGCTAGATAAGAGATTATTCATTGACAGGTAGAGAAGTTCAGATTTTCTTACTCTTATAATGCTTCTGAAGTGCTATAGTTGTCAGTAGAAAGACCTGGTGGTGTTATTTTTAGTTATAAGTTACTTCAAAGCAGCTATTATATATGAGCGTATTTTGTAGCCATTAGAGAAAGGGAAACGGAAGCCCTGTGTGATATTTGGAAAGATGTTTCAGGTTTTTCCTCCACTCCCACTGGCCTGAGAGTAGATCTTCAGTCAGATAAATATGGCTGATGGTTGGTTTTTTTTTTTGGTTGATGGTTCCTCTTTTAAGTTGATTATTTCAATGTAGAGAGATAAAGCAGGAATATTCTTTGTTGCCTGCTGGGTTATTCAGTGTCCTAGATATTTCTCAACCACAAAGGAGTCTGATGCACCACTGGAATATGAGAGGACCCTGTTGTTTCCTTCTTAGATCAAAGCAGCCATACATAATTGCAGTTGGTACTTATGAAACTGCTGTTGGTATCTAACAGTTTCACATGGAAGCTATTGCTGGCTCTATGGAAAAAAACCCTCAAATCAGAATTTTATCTTCAGAAGGAGACTCACTGATCAAACCTACAGAATTTTTAGTATTAAATCATGGCCCACTCAGTCTGCTACTAGCTCGAATGCTTTTTTGCATTTGTCCCCATGTGGAGTTCAACAAAAACCCAGTGCTTACAAAAACTGAGCCTAGATTCTAACTACCTTAAGCAGAAATGGGTGCAATCGCTTGCTGGATTCTTACCCTCTGTATTTTTTCTGCTGTTATACTAGTTTAAGCTGCTACCAGAGTTATTCCAGGATGAGGAGAAGGTCCTCAGTCCCACGTCAGCAACCCCTTCAGGGCGCGTGCCTTTGTCTCGAACAGCTGTAAAACCAGCCAAGGCCAGGCCAGGTCAAGCCAGCAAGGAGCATAAGAAAACTGTGGGACATCAGGTGAGTGTGAAGATGCAGCTCTATTAAATAATCTCTCCCTCTGTCTCCCTCTGTCTCATAGGTCTCAAGGTGTGCTGGTGCTTCTCGGGATCCCTTGTGATTTTGAGACAGGTGCAGCTGATTATGACTTACAGTTTGGAGCAAATATACCCTAATTACTGATACATTTTGGGCCACAGTTTCAGGGAGCTCAGTTCTTATTGTGGTACCAAAACCAAAACTCATGTTTTTCAAAATAAATTTAACATGCTGGATGCTGAGAAGCTTTGGAAGTCTTATACTGGGTCTTTCTGATCATGTGCCACATTGTCCAACTCAAGTCAAAAGTGGGAGTTCAGTGCCCAGAAAACTTGCTTCCAGTTGTCAATGGCTAAACATAAAATATCCACGTGTATGTGCCAGAATTAAATTAAAAGTATGCAGATCAGTGTGGCTGGAGAACTCACTTCTTTGTTAGTTTCCACTCAACAGATTTAACAGGTGTTTTCTCAAGATGGTTATGTCCCCAGTCAGTGCTTTATATATGACAGATTGTCCCTCGGACTATACATAGGAGCCAAGGGGAACTTTTTTGACAGTTTAGTACTCAGTTTTTATCTACTTGCCAGCCTGTATCACTTTGCTAGTGAGTAGCGGCATTCTTCTTTTGCCTGGGGCTTCCAGGAGGTCTGTGTGGGTAACTCTTTTTATGTTACTGTAGGACAGCCTGGAATATAAATTAGCTCTCAGGGAGCCTAAGTTCTTTGCATCAGGGTCCCCTGGCAATTCTTGAAGATGAACCAGCCACATTTCTTGGGTGCTCAGAGTTCTGATAAAATCACCAAAAATACTTGGGCTTTGTCTACTGCCTTGGATGGTTGTCGATCCCCTAACAAAGATGCCAGCACAGTGTCTGTGCAGTGTCATGAGCTAGTCACACTGCTAAGTGAGAAGCAGGGAATTCAGAGAATGTTTGGTTTGGGTATTCATAATTTCTCTGTAACCTTCCCCAAGCAAGCTATGTCAAGCTATGGGTGGGAATAGGAATGGCTATTCATGCTACTGTACAGAACGCAAATCTGCTTGGCATGTGTTCGTGGTACAGGCTGCAAATTCTGATCTTCTGCAATTCATGCAAGAGAACCCCTGCCCAGTTATCTTTTTAATTTGAACTTAATTTCTGATTTTGCAAACAGACAAGTGTCCTGAAGCTGAGAGAGGCCTAACAGTTTTGTTGTCAGACTGAAACTATGAGTTGAAGTGTTAGGGGTGCTCTCATACTACTCGTATCAATCAACCATTTATATTAATTTATAAATTTTAAAGCTAATACGAAAGTGATTTTTATCGTATTCTGTGTAGAAATAGAGGTTGGCTTAGAATCATGAGTTCAACAGAAAGAGGGAAATCCATACCAATACGTTTAAAACATCTAAGATGTTTTCCTAGGTTTCTTTGTCTATTAGGGTATTCTGTGGTTAGAAGGATATACTGCAGTATGTTAGGTATTTGTGGTCCTGATACTTCTTTAAAAGTAAAGCTCCTAAAACTCTTGGATATTGGACTTTCCAAGTTCTCTTCAGTAGGTCTGACATTGGGATCAGTGAAGCTGAAGAAATTGATACTTTTTTTTTTTTTACCACTCTGTTGATTTAAAATTTGATTTAAAATTTATTTTAAATTAAATGGCTATTTAGTAATAGGCCATGAGGTTTAGTCATGAAAAGATGGATTAGACAAAGATTAGGGTAGATAAGATAGTCAAAAGCTGAAAATAACTCAGTCTATCCCATGTTTTTTTAATTTATCACGTGCTGATATGGGAGCTTTACTCCTGTAAAGCCTAACATTTAGAAGTCTCGCTGTAACGTACTTCACCCAAAGATGGTATCCGAAACTAAAATCTATTGCCGTAACAAAAACAAGCTGGTGTTTATTAGTGAAAGCATTATTACAAATAGGCAAATATCCCTAGGCCTGCTTCCTGGGTTATCTCAAACATGACTGAGCTTTCTTTTTTTTTTTTTTTAATTGAGGCTATTCCCTGATATTTTTCCCTTTTTCTTTTTCAAAAAGTTTCGTAACTCTCTTCATCTGCTGATGGAAACTCTGAACGCTACAACTCCACACTACGTGCGCTGCATTAAGCCTAATGACTTCAAGTTTCCGTTCACGTAAGCTGGTTCACGTATGGTTCGTATAGCCAGTGCAGGGGAGGGAATTGCCCAAGGCGTCGGAGGACTGAGGTTCTGCTAAACCTTGCTCACTCAGGAGTGAAGTGGTGTGTCTCCCTTCTCTTGTTATGGACTCATTGTGTGTGTGTATGTGTAGTTACAGCAGGAGAAGTTTTGGGATGAATAGAGGGAGAAATACTTCCTGATGCTTTATTTTTCTTTATGGTGATATATGAGAAAAAATACCAGCATTTTCGTTGCTGGCTGTTTTAAATGTGACTGGCAGTTTGCACTCCTTGAGTTCATTTGACATTGGCTGGAATTTGCTTTTGCAGATTCCAACGTCTTATTCCTTATCTTTTTTTTTTCATATATGAACTTGCTTAGAGCTTTTCTCAAAAGTCTGCTTAAAATCCAGGCACGCAAGGACTCCCACGGCTGTTGGGCAGGCCAGTGGGAAGCAGGACAGGACGAGCAGCTTGCTGATGAGCTCGAGCAGTTCCCCCATCAGGCTGTCCTCTGTTATCGCTGAGTTGCAGAAGCACTAGCTGGACTTGTTAACCACCCATCACATCCCACCACTGCTCCCCCTCCGTGCCACTCCTGTCTTGGGTGTGCGCAGGGCCAGAGGTCCCATGTAAAGCAAAACTAGCCCCACACCCACAGGCTCTTTTTATTCCTATGTAGATTCGATGAAAAGCGGGCAGTGCAGCAGCTGAGAGCTTGTGGTGTCCTGGAGACCATCCGAATCAGTGCAGCTGGCTTCCCCTCCAGGTGTGTTTGCCATTTTTTAGATTGCTTGCAGCTGCAGTTCTTTTTAAGAGAATTATTCATTGTTGGGACTGACACTGTCTCTGTTTTTGGGACAGGTGGACGTACCAAGAGTTCTTCAGCCGTTACCGTGTTCTGATGAAGCAGAGAGATGTCCTTAGTGACCGAAAGCAGACATGTAAAAATGTCCTGGAGAAGCTGATTCTGGTACTAGACTTAGTGCTGAGAGCATTTGGAATCTGAAGGAGTAAAGATAGCGTTCCTTACTTCCTCATAGCCAAACTATTTCAGTACTTCTACGAAGTACTAAACCACCAATATTAGCACAGGAACTGTAGAATTTCCCAGTGTATCACAGGAAAGGAAGACAGTGATTTTAAGTGTAGGTCGGTTGAGGGTGAGCCTTACCTTGCTTAAAGGCAAGATGCATTCACCACACCTTAAGTAAGGTATAGTTATCTGGAGGTTTTCTAATGTGGAGGTGTTTCTGTCTGTATATGTGTTTGTGTCGTTCAAACTGCTCCTCTCAGCTCCTGTGCTGAAGTCAACCTTTTTCACTCCTTTCATCCTTGTGACATTGTCTCCCTGCTTAGCACTGTGGCTGTCCTCGTACCTCAGCAGCCTCTTGCTTTGCCTCCAGTTGCAGCCCTGCATTCCCAGGCTATGCCATCCACACCACTGGCTTGGCACCTGAACAGATGTGTTTCTTGGGATTTCTTAAGGACCGATGAACAGCGGAGGGCAGGCAGGCTCCAAAGAGACAGTTCCAGCCAGTTCTCAGTGGAAGGTGGTTAATTGAGACTTACTCAGAAGTATCAGTTAGGAAGAGAAAGAGACAAAGTTTGCTGAAGGTATAAAAGCAAGAAAGCTCACCTTGCTGAAGTGCAATGCCAATATTAGGATGTTTATGGAAACAAAGAAATAAATACTGTGCAGGCAGGTTGGGGCTCGGCTTTTTAAATTCTGTGTCATTGGGTGGACTTAACTAAAATCTTTTGGTTTATATGCATGTGCCTGTATTCATAGTGTTAATGTATAGTGTTAAATGTATCCTAAGCCGTAGCTCTTTGACTGCTGTTCCTTTTAACTTAACATCAAACAATCAACAAAATTAATTTTTTTCAATGTACCTTTGTATATTCTCAGTTTTTCCCTCCAAGGAAATTCTATCTCTATAGAGATAGAAGATTACTCTCTTTCTGTTTTAGTTCTGAAATTTCAGATGCATTTAAGCAGCAGCGAGATGTTTTGTTCTGGCTTAGTCCCGATGCAGTAAACGATGCGTACATGTTTGAAGCCCCAGCTGTTTTGTTTGTACTGGGTAATATGGTTGAAGATGGACCGTTCAGAGGAGTCATTACAATTTAAGCAGGAAATTGTACATGTGCATTGCCCTGTATTGCTTTCATCCTCTGGGCCTCTTTGTCACCTCCTGTAGCCTTCCACATCTCTTATAATCTTTGTGGCATTCTTGTCTAAGCAAAAAATCTCACATTACTCCTTTAGGCCATGCTTGTGGCCTTATTGTATTAATTTGTTAACAGAATCATACAGAGAAAATACTCTCTTCTACTACTTAATGTAAGTCTACGTTTACTTGAAATATTACACAGATAATTTTGCCTCTTTACTAACTGTACTTTCATTTAGCCCTTCATGCCTTTTTTTTTATCCACTAACATTTAATGCTGTAACTGATCCTCTTTTTACCTCTGAAAATAGGACAAGGATAAGTACCAGTTTGGTAAGACAAAAATATTTTTCCGGGCTGGTCAAGTAGCCTATCTGGAAAAAATAAGGGCAGATAAGTTGAGAGCTGCCTGTATCCGCATCCAAAAGACGATCCGAGGCTGGCTGATGCGAAAGAAGTACGTGCGTATGAGGAAGGCTGCCATCACCATTCAGAGATATGTCAGAGGGTACCAAGCACGATGGTAAGCAACACTCATGGGAAAACCCACACTAGCCTCAATTCAGATCCCTTTAAGTAGGACATTTAAATGTGATAGATTTGTTCCCTCCTTCCTATACTGGCTGAGAGGAAAAGATTTTCCAGGGAAGTGAAGGAAATTGAATATAATGAGTGTGTCTGTCGTGCCTGTTTTTGACCTTCCTGAGAGGACAGTAGCACCCCGGCTTAGAACAGTGTGTCGTTAGTGGGAGAGGAGTACAAGTAGTACTAGGAGATACGTTGCAGGTGAGGTAAAGCAGGACTCTTAGCTGAGTCCTTATTGCCCAGTTTCCATGTGCCCTCCCAGCTGGGTCTGTCTGTCCTGCTGGAGAAGCCATTCCTCATCCGGGGTGCGGCTGTGAAGGGAGATACATCAGTCATAGTCATTTGTTTGGATTGACTTATGAAGGATGGCCATGGATGGGCCAGAGAAAAGGGTAGGAGTACAGGCGGTATCGTTGAAAGTCAAGGTGGTTATGAAGACTAAGAGTCAACCTTCGGAAAGAGGCTTATGACAAGATGCTTTGTAATTGTCTTGCTGAGAGGGCCAAGAATGAGCAAACATTTTCTACAGGTTGAGGTTAGGAGAGGAGATCTGGAAGGTGGCATAGTGGAAATAGCTTTAAAGCTGGAGAAAAGGTGATGAGAAATTAAGCTGAGTGTATCTTGTCAGTTCTATAGCACAGTTCTTAGAGGAAGTGAAAACATTTCCCCATAAAACCTTGCAAGGTTTCTGTTAATTTGTCATTCTGTTGTACTGCTGTTCAATAGAATAGCAAGCAAATATGCTGTATCACTGACAACATTAGGAAGAAACTGAAGTAGAAAATGTAGCTCTTGAGAAAGAGGGTAAAGTTATAGGATGTAAAAAAAAAATAGATGGAAAAAAAATATTCAAGCACTGGAAAATAATTACAGATATTTGTAATCTTTTTCTTGCTTAGCTATGCCAAGTTCCTGCGGAGAACACGGGCTGCTATCACTATTCAGAAGTTCCAGCGCATGTATGTGGTCCGCAAAAGATACCAATGCATGCGAGCTGCTACTGTTGCTCTTCAGGCTCTCCTAAGAGGTTACATGGCCAGGAACAAGTACCAAATGGTAAGAAATCATGTTTTACTTCTTCACTCTAGCTTTATTTCCACATACCTTCAGGATGAAGCTGCTCTGTGGTGTCGCCTTGGGAATCTGAAATGTTTGTGTGCATGCTGTTACACATAATGGACAAACAAAATATCACAGCATGAATTGAACAGCACCTGGAAATTAGAAAAATCTGATAGTGCAATCAATGAACTTGTCATTTTAGAGATATTTACATTGTCATCTAATTTGAATGTACCTAGACTTTCAGTGCAGTTGGTGAAGAATCTAACAGATTTACAGCATTTCTCTTGAGAAAACTTTTTCATTTGTTATATAGATTGTCGAGGCACTTAAAATAAGTACTGAAAATGGTCTCATGTGAATGTACCCCATGAGTCCAAATCAGTATTGCTCACATCAATATACGTATGTGATGCACTACTATTCCTATTCCGTCCTAATTTCAGTGGTTCTGAAATGGCTGATGGAATATACTGAAGGAGATTGATGTTAGCAAAGAGATACCCGCAAAAATAGGAGATTAAAACTTAAGCATGGGGCGGGGAGTTGTTTTTTTTTTTTATGTATTGATGTTGGTTTTGTTTTGGAGAGAAATTGATATAACCCTGTCCTAGTGATACTGATAATATTTTCCTGATTACACTTGATAAAAAATAAAAATTCAATTGAGAAATTAGAATTTGCTCTTCAGTGGTTACAGGGCTGGAAACAGAATTATGATTCAAATGGTTAGACTAAAAAGTGCCAACATGTTTCATGGCACTTTTGTCCACATGAGTTATTTTAACTAGGCTCAAAAGTCAGCCTACATTTCACTGAAAAGTTAGCCGAGAGAGTTCTGTTTTTTCCCCAGCAGGTAGATATTGAAGGCATATAACCAAAAGCCAGCTAATGCTTATGTTCCACGTGTTTCTCTTTTATACTTGAAGTTTCTGTATATTTTTCGTTTGTATTAAAGTTGCCTACAGAGTCACATGTGAATGTGTCTATATTACAGCATTCTAACATAGACTAACCAGAAAGTTTGAAAACAAGTAATCCCTGATAAGAATTTCTAAGGCGTAAGATCCCCATGCTTGACTCAGCTATTCTTTTGTGTGGGTATCTACTTGCCTTTTTATTGGAATTCTTAGCATTTTTATTATATACAAACCATAATTTATGTTGTGAGATTATGTAAGGTATGTTTTTAACAGTAATCTGACAGATGTGACAAAGCGAGACGTGGGTCACAGCAATATGTGGACTAAAAGCCATCCTTAGGAAAACGGGAGATGAGCCTGTATGCCTGAAGTTAGTCGCGTGAGTGATACACACGGCATCTGTTCTGTAGCACAGAGTTTTATAAACCTGTTCTATTCCCTCTTAATAGAGATGGCAGATTTCTGGAGGGGTCCCCATAAGGGGTGGTCAGACTTGCCTGTCAGGGAGCATCCCCCTTGAGCAGTGAATTGTTCACCGCAGTAAAACATGAAGTTCTGACAAGTGCACCTGTGGTGTGCTGTGTATACATTGTCCTCCTAAGGTGGAATCTCATGGAAGCTGAGATACAGGATGGCCAGAGAGAGAAGCACAGGCTCTGCATGCTGTGGGCAGGTAAACACAGTTGTTCTGAAGTTCATGATGATTGCAAATGAGTGAAACCGAAAGGCTGCCCTATGACAACACACTTGGGCTGAGCCTTGACTCTGTAAGTAATACACGGTACACGTGTTGTTCGTTAGGATTGTGAAAGGTACCTGTTGTTGTTGTTGTTAGGGCATGTGTTGCAGTCACATGACTAATACAAGGAATTTAAAATGGTTGAATCATCTATTTCACACATCCTGGGGAAAGCTTCTGCCTGAGACATTGCAATGTGCTTCTCAGCTTAACAAGGAGTTTAATTCCTCCATAGCTTTAACGTGAGCTTTCCTGGGAAATACCTGGTAAATTAAGTAACTTTTCTGGTACGCTCACCTTGCGTTGGAGTGGCCTGTTTCCTCACTGGATTGCATGGGTGTGAGAATTCACTGGCAGATGAGGACCATCCCTGCGCGATGGAGGTATTTTATGGGACTTGTTGCTTTCAAACTTGAGGTGAAAATGCTGTTGAAAGCTAGTTGTTCAGGCACCTGCGGGTAACCTGAAGGACTGTTCCAGGAAATGTGTAAGAAGGAAGCAGGGCAGACATGATGTGTAAGAAGGAAGCATGAGACAGGAATGCTAATTGCATGGCACGCAGTCAGAAGGACTTTGGCTTTTGACCTTGCTGTACTTTTGAGAGAGCTATTTCCTTACCTCCATGTGCTATTTAACCGAGTGCTGGTATTTCAAGTCTCATTTCTTCTTCAGAAATAAATGCTGAGGGAGAAAGTTTGTGTATCTTCTAATCTTGTCACTTTGCTAGTGAACCTTTTAAATTCATTGATCTGGAAATGTAATGCTTCTAACAGATTTCAGTTCCTTTGCTAAGAAGTATAAAAGAAAATAAAATTATTGTTACTCTACTAGTTTGTCTTATCACCTTTGTGGTAAATTATTGTAAGAATGTGGACAGCATATGATCTTAAACTGTTTCATTTTCAGAAGCTTTATTAAGTGAACTCTAAAGTTCTCAGAGTCCTGGAAGCCTTGTGGGTTTGGGCAGGCCCTCCCAGCATAGCTGTGGTCTGCTGGAATTCAGGTGCTCCGGAACTGGGGGATCTCTGATTGAATCAGTGGGTGAAGGATCCAAAACCAAGTAGTAGACTCTTCCTAGTGGAAGTCTCTGGCTAACACACTGATGAAGGTTGCTGGCATTCTTGACTGCTTTTCATTGAAAATTATTTTTAAAAAATTATTACAATTTTTTTTTTTTTACACCTCAAAGCTATGGTTGAAATTTCTGCAATGAAATAAATTGGAATTATTACAATATAAAATTTCTGATTAGAATAAATGGAGATTTTTTCATGCTGGCAAGTCTAAGATATGTCAAAAAAGGGAAAAAGAAAAAAAAAAAGAAAACTGATTGGAAGATTGGAACTTGTAGTTTGGTCAGCTAGACTATGGCTGCTGTTTTTAACATCTACTGCAATTTACTCTGGGTTCTAGCGTGTAATAGATGCATTGCATATCAAGTGTGGTAATTTTAAACTTTGTACTGATGAATGCTATGCAGCATATGTCAATGATTCTAAGATGTTTCAAGATAAAAGATACAGTAAAACCAAAAAGGATTGTATTTGTAATCTTGTCAACAGGTACTATATATATTTTTGTAATTAGCTTGGATCTGACATCAACACAAAGGAATGCCTGGTTCTTCAGTGTGCCTCCAGTTCTTTCTTTCCATGTTTTTCCTTCTACTTCCTTTTAATTTTATTCCCTTTCATCTTCCTTATTCCTGTCTTCTTTTCCTCTTCTTTTTTGTTTAAATTAATTCCATATTCATTTCTTGTTACTCTTCACCAGAAGTTCCTCTTTTCAGGCTAAGGTGTCTCTATGTGTACATCATCGTTACACCTCACATTATGGAGTCTGTTTAACTGAGCAGGTGTAGTTTGCAACTCTCATACTCCTTGCGGTGTTTTTTCTTAACTGTAGATGCTTCGGGAGCACAAGTCTATTATTATTCAGAAACATGTAAGAGGTTGGCTGGCTCGAGTGCACTACCATAGGACCTTGAAGGCAATTGTTTACTTGCAATGCTGTTACCGGCGCATGATGGCCAAGAGGGAGCTAAAGAAACTGAAGATAGAGGCCCGGTCTGTGGAACGCTACAAGAAGCTTCACATTGGCTTGGAGAACAAGATCATGCAGCTGCAGCGAAAAATTGATGAGCAGGTAAAAGCTCCCTGGCCTCAGGGAAAATATTTAGAAACCTTGTATTACGTTTCTCGGTAGCACTGTGGGCATTCACAGGAAAAGGCACTGAATTTTCATTGTAAGGTATCAGTTCTCTTTTCTGCTGAAGAACATTAATAGAAAAGAAAGGGAGGCCACAGTAGAACTAGAACAGTAAAGCACCATTTGTGTCTCTCAGCAGCACTGAGAGAAAACATCTGCTCCCTTGATGTCAGTATTTCATTTGAAGCACGTCAGTTGCTCTGTTTAAGGGGAAGGTGAGGTGATCATGTTTGATGTGTGTGGGCTCCCTCCCTGTCTGATTTTAGCTTGGGATGTTGACGTGCAGGCTTAGAGACTGGTCTGTTCTGTCACCTCGTTAAGCAATTCTGCAAAAAACAGACTGAAACTTTTTGGAAATGAGGGAGCTGCTCTTTTGCTCCCGTGTCTGGGTATATTCTGTAGGGAACTAGAAGGCTCCCTTAAACCAGAACTTCTCCAACAGCTGCTATGTCTGTGTTGTGTTTTGCAAAGAACAAAGAGTATAAATCTCTGCTGGAGAAGCTGAGCAACCTGGAGATCACGTACAGTACGGAGACAGAGAAGCTGCGGAGTGATGTGGAAAGGCTTCGGATGAGTGAGGAGGAGGCTAAGAACGCGACCAACCGTGTCCTCAGCCTTCAGGAGGAGATTGCCAAGCTCCGGAAGGAGCTGCACCAAACTCAGTCTGAGAAGAAGACCATTGAGGAATGGGCAGACAAATACAAACACGAAACCGAGCAGGCAAGTATGCAGTCTCGGATGCGTGAGAAGATTTATAGGGGCCTGATGTCCACTCAGGTTTTGTCCAGGCTTAGCTGCTTCAGTCGCATGGCTGGTATTTTTACAGTATTTTTAAGCAATGTTATACCTGTACAATCCTAAATAGGCTTGATGCCTATATAACTACACCTATGGTAGAAAAATATACTAAATCTATATATTGTATGGAAATACATGTATTAAATCTATGCAGATTTTGATATTGAAAGTATTTGCAAATCCAAATACTTAAGCTTCCTCAATTAGTCAGAGGTAGCGCATTCACAAAAAGAAATCATTTTACCTACCTGGAGAGTGTAATCACATAGATATCAGAAATCTGTCCCATACACAGTATTCAAAGGTACCTGCTTATATCCTACCTAATTTAAACAATTAGCCTACTAAACACATGTATGTGCACACAGTCTAGTTCAACAGGTTTTGCCTTACCCCTCATCTTTGCTTTAACCACAAACATATCAAACAGGTTGTTTCCTGTCAAGATTACTTGCTGATAACAGTGCAAGTTTCGAATATTGGTAGAGCCATTCCATCATTATGTGATGCTGCAGTGATACACTTCAAGATCAGATAAACATAAGGAAAATTATTAATTGATTAAGCAAAGAGAATGCCTAGTAACCATAATTGGAGACAAATGAGTAACTGGCAAACCTGGGCACAGTTAAAGTGGCACAACTTTTGGGCAGAGGCAAGGTGTTAGATTATGGTGTTACCCAATGCAATGGAATACACAACAGAACTACCAAATTTGTTCCTATTTTAGGAATATTTCTATTTTAAGGAATAAATTACATCTTTGGGACTTTACTGAAAAATATTGTGGCACAATAGAGTGATTCAAGGCAGTTTTGGCATCTGATCAGAAATAGAGTGCAGAACATACAGGGAAATCTGCAGTAGGACATATTTAAGACATGTAATTTGGGAAATGAAGATGTCATAACTTAGTTCATTGATTTCATTCTCTGAGGAAAAGTTTAAGTATTTGAACTCTTACAATGAGGATGTAGTTGCTGTTAGAGCTTCTGATGAAAGATGAACTGCATTCTGAGTCAAATATTTTATTATCTCTGTAGCTGGTATCGGAGCTGAAAGAGCAGAACACATTACTGAAAACAGAAAAGGAGGAGCTGACGCCGCATCCATGACCAGGCGAGGGAAATAACAGGTTGGCTCTGTTCTCTTCGCTCAGGTTTTCTACTTCATGTTACCTTGTAAAGCAACACTCTACTGCATAGTTTGGGCTAATTTGCCTTAGTTTGCATTCCTTTTTAGTTTAATGGTTTCATTTCTTTGTTTTAAGAACTCAACGTGCGTCAGAATTATTTACTATTTGAGTTTCCATGAAGTCCTAAGGGTTTGGAGTCTTTTTGGTGAGAGTGACTGTTACAAAGTGTTTTACTTTTAAAAAGAAGGGTCTGATATTTAATACAATTAATCTACTGCAGCTCTTCTGGCTGCTGTGACTACGTAGACAGCAGCCAGAAGAGCGTAACTCTAGATGTGAAGGCTGTGATGGAGGCAGCTGTGATAAGGAGGGTCAGTGTGCTTGAGGCATAAGGCATCTCACGTTTTGCTTTTTTCACAACGCAGCACTGGGCTAGTGCCCCTTCTTCCTCCCTCCTGGAACTATTAATGCAAGGTATTAGCAGAATAACTAACTTGACTGAGTGAACCCTTCTGTGGTTACCACAATAATGCTTTGGTCCTTCATATATTTGGCTTAACATTTGCCTACAGAAGCACAGATAGCACACACCAGCTTCAAAGAGCAGACTGTTTCACCATCTGTGTTCCTGGTGCAGACACATGCCTGTACCTCCAGGATGGATGCACTGCATGGTAGGTAGAACTGGAGTTCTCACTTTGGATTCCTGTTCTCCATGGCAGAAACGATGGAAAAGAAGCTAGTGGAGGAAACGAAACAGCTAGAGCTAGATCTGAATGATGAACGGTTACGGTACCAGAACCTGCTGAATGAGTTCAGCCGTTTAGAGGAGCGGTATGATGATCTCAAGGATGAAATGAACTTAATGGTGGTAAGTGGCTAAACATCTGAGAAATCAAAAGCTGTTCACAAATGTGTTTAGGCAGAATCTAGTGGTATAAGTTAGTAACTGATTCTGCTGTCAGCTGTGTGGTGGTGACCTGTACCAGAAAAGAGAATTTGTCCTTTTCAATATTGATTAATTAGATCAGCTCAGCCAAAACAAATACATTTAAAATTTGTGGTTGATTTTTTAAAAATTTTATTTTTATTTTCACGTTTGTGAAGCAGGCTAAATTTCTGCTGTGACTTTGCTAGTGGTATTGCACGTGCCGTCCACCCTTATTTTGCCCTGAAGTTATTCACATGTGCTAGGGTTGTTTGTACCACGTTCACCCAGTGTTAAATTTTAAATAGTTCTAGGAATATTTTATGTGTCAGGAAGAAAAAATATTCCTCAATACAGTATCTGGGAAGTTAGAGAATTGCTGCCTGTGCTTCCTGTAAACCGAGCTTTTCTTTCCCACAAAATGCTCTGTTGTTGCTTGATTCTGCTTTCTGCAGCAATACTTGATGGTGTGTAGGTTCTGACCTGTCTCCATGGATTTGATTGTGAACTACATCTCATAGGCTTTAGGTGGCATGAGAGACTAGAATCAAAAATCTTTTCTTATAAATTTTGATAGCCGTGAAATAACACCAAATATTACAAGCTAAATTGTAGTTTGTGAAGAGACAGTCACAGGGAAAACCATATAGTGGTATTGATTTGTTTCGTTTGCACTCCAGAACATCCCCAAGCCTGGACACAAAAGAACGGATTCAACTCACAGTAGCAATGAATCTGAATATACTTTTAGCTCCGAGATCACGGAAGCAGAAGACTTACCAGTGAGGATGGAGGTAATGTTAAAAAAACCCCACAACTTTTCATTGGTCAGTGGTTGAACTTATTCCTATCTCTTTTTTTCATACGTGCTTGTGAACACCTTATCCTTGTATTGAGATATCTACTGCTTCAATCCAACTTTTTCCATTTCCTTTTTGAAAACAGCTCATTCTCTAGGTAGCTGGGGTCCTATGTAAAAGGACTTTGTGAAAGTATGCTTTGAATTCTTCTGTATTACAGTAAGCATGGACTAGATACTTGGCCATCCAGTTGATTTGCATCTGTAAAACATTTGCTTGCCAGTGTTTGTAAGCACAATCACTTTTTCAGCACAAAGTGGGAATTCAGAAAACCAGTGAGACTTCCTGAGAAGTCTGTATACTGTATATTCAAGAATTAAAAGTGGCAAGGTGGCTAGTCACATTCTTAGTAGCTACATGGAATGAGTTCCCTGTTAGGGGTGAGAACCTCATGTTGATTCATTTTTCCTCTATTTCATAGAGACGAATAAAACTCCAAGAATGTAGTATCCCTTTGCATATGCAGTGATACAAATCCCAGGGTATTCAAACATTTTCGGAAGGATGACTCTCTAGATTCATCTAATGAGTAATAATAATGAATAATTTGTGGTGCAACTCCAAGCCATTCTTAGTATTTTCCAACATAACTCCCCCTTTTGGCCCCTCCCAAAGAAGTGGGACTGCTAACACAGCAGAGAGACATCAGGTTGGTGGTCTGACTGTCCTCGGCAGTTTGCAGATGCATTCTAGAGATCTTCTTACCTGTGAGCCATCGCACAGCTTACTCCATTTGCCCTCTGTCTAGGTTAGTTACCTCCCCAGTTGCTTTTTACAGGCTGTCATTACTGTTTTTGAAAGCCTCTGCAAAAAATTATTTTCCACTATGGATGCAAATACCCTGACACATTGATGCTGACACATATTCATAATTTACCTTCCCACTTATATTTTTCACCTTGCATAACGGTTTCAGAAAGATGCTCCTACCTTTATGGATGATCAGGAAAAGGACAGTGCAACTACACGTGATTGGATTTCACATACAAGCCAAATGTCATCTTTTCCTTTGGCTAATAAACTTACTGAATTGCTGTTCTAGAGCCAGTTTGGGGTTTTAGAATATAAATGAAAAAAATAAACTCACACAAGAGTGTGAATAAATGCAGCACTGAGAAGATTAAATCTGTATTTGTTTATCCCCTTAAGATTTCAAACTCCAGTTTGACTCTAGACTAACAATGTAGATTAATGACACAAAACCACGTTAAAAAAATAGGGTCCATCTCAATACGAACCAGTAAAGCCAGAAAACTCAAAGTCCGTTTTCTTTTTCCTGAGCTGTTGGCATGGTTTATGACTCTTCCCCTCAACAGTAAAAAGAGAGGAGGTGGAAATGGCTGTGCTTGCTTGTCTGCTACAGTCATTAATATTAATTTTCTCGTTCCTTTTCTAGGCTTCAGAATTTTATGGTGCAGTTCATAGTAAATGCTTTGATCTCCTTGCTACATAAAGTACAAAATGGCCGATGGGCAATTTCCGATGCAATTTCAAATTACAAACGCTGGTCCTTGCCCAGAAAATAGTGAGAAAGCTAGTGGATTAGGCCCAGAACAGGCTGTATAATTAGAATAGTAAAAGGAAAAAGGCATAAAATATATCTTCTGGTAGCTATTTATGTCACATCCCACTAAATTAACCTGTAAATCTACAATCAGCAGAGATATTTCTCCATAGCTGAAGAACTTACTGTAGAAATAATTTCAAACTAAAAAAAAAAAAAAAAAAAAAAAAAAAAAAGCCTCTCTTTACAGTTGTTTCCAGGTGAGTCTAACCGTAGACTTTTTTTCTCTTCTCCCCCTCCAAACAAGTAAGAATAAAAGGTATGCTTAATTATAGACCTCCTGTCTGCTAGGTAGTCTGTAGTGCTTTCTTTTGCTAGGCTTTAGGCTTAGATACGTTTTATACTAGTAGATCCTTTTTTAAAATAGCATTTGACAGCTGATGAAATATTTTAGATGCCAATAGTCAACTCTCAGAAACAAGTAACGTTTCTGTGTTCCTGTCCTTCCCCAGTCTGTTTCCCGTCTTTACTCACTGTAGTGCTTCCTTGCGATGTGGAAGGGGAATACTTCTTGACTTTGTTCTGTTCTTTCTAAAGCAGGAACCAAGTGACAAAAAGGCACCATTGGATATGTCTCTGTTCCTCAAGCTGCAGAAACGGGTTACGGAGCTGGAGCAAGAAAAGCAATCCCTGCAGGATGAACTGGACAGAAAGGAAGAACAGGCTCTCCGTGCTAAAGCTAAGGTGGACTCCTTCTAGCTGATCAAATGCTGACGCCAGAGTATCCCTTCTTGTGAAACAGTAGCTGTGTGAATGCTGACTGGATTTTACTAAATCCTTATCTTCCTCTAGTACCTGCTTTATTTAACAAGTTTTATCCCTGGTGCTTAGTACTAGGGACTGGTTATTTAGTTTTCCAAGGTCTTTGAGATCCTCTGATGGAAGTTAACAGGAATAAAAAGTGCTTGGGACTTTGTGTAAAAAAAAAAAAAAAAAGTCATTTTTATTCAGGAATAGCAATATATAAATTCTACTTACATGATGGGGAGAATGAGTAATTGTTCATTTTAGGCAGAACAAGAGCCAGGATACAGAGCCAAAGTGTTGGGATTAGACATGCTTAGCAGACTTTATTTGAAAATTTATTCAAAATTCTCCTCTGATTTGGCCTCCTTAAGCACTTATAAAAATATGGAACCAGTTTTGGCAATTGTTTCTTATTATTCTTCCACCAGTGAATTTCTTGAGCATCCTGGCATTCATCCTGCTCTGTTTCGTTACCAGTGACAGTAGTGTGATTTGTACATGATTTTATTTATATTAACCAACTGTGTGTCATAAATTCATAAGTAAACTAAAGGAGACAATGTCAATATTCAAAGTAAAGCACTCAACAGTACCAGAATGAGTGTTTTCCAATTTTATAGGAAAATAATTTCAGCTCCCTTTCCTTTTCCTGCCTCAACTAAATTAAAGAATAGAAGGGATTGGATGTTTATTTTTCACACTTTCCTGTATTCTTTCATAGGAGGAGGAAAGGCCTCCAATAAGAGGTGCAGAGTTGGAGTATGAGTCGCTCAAGGTAATTCTCAAAAGGAGGTTTCTGTTATTTTCTAGTGAGAATATTGCCACCAATTGTATGTGCTGGCATAGAAAATTACATCAGCCCTCCTGTTTCAGAATATTAACTAGAGAAACTAGAACAAAAATTCCCCAGCAATCATTTTATTGTAGGATTATGCTTTTTGAGGTGTAGAATGTGTGGCTGGGGCTGCAGAACAAAAAGATCTCCTAAAACAGGGGGAGTTCTCTGTTGAAACACTTAGTAGAGCTTGCAAGTTAATTTGAGCAAAAATACGGTGATAAATGTAGCTTTCTTTTCCAAATACATTATTTAAATGAATGCATACCTTAAACCACTAAAACTAAAAATATTTCCTAATATCACTGAATGATGCAGAATCTTCTTAGCCTGCTGACCAGTATTCATTGTGAACTTTATTTTTTTTGTTAAGGGGAGAATAAGAGGAAAAGAAGATTGGTAATTTTTTTCCCATCAAATCTGTATGATTCATGTATATGGGTTCTGATTTTGCACTTCAGACAGAAGGTTAGCCCTGTTAGTGAAATCCTCCCAGGCACTATTCACCGTAGTCAAGAGGCCAGGGGTAAGGGAGACATTGATGGATTTGTTGCAGTTACTCATTGTTTTTACCATTTCTATCCATAGTTTTGTACCTGTGGTTTATAAGCACGTTGGAATGCTGCTGAGTGACTGAATTGTCCCTATTTCTTACAGCGTCAAGAACTTGAATCTGAGAACAAAAAACTGAAGAATGAGTTGAATGAGCTGCAGAAGGCCCTCACAGAAACGCGATCTCCAGAGGTAACTGCTCCTGGTGCCCCTGCATATAGAGTCCTCCTGGATCAGCTGACTTCAGTAAGTGAAGAGCTTGAAGTACGCAAGGAAGAAGTCCTCATCCTGAGGTCTCAGCTGGTTAGCCAGAAAGAGGCTATTCAACCCAAGGTAAATAATAGTCAGCAGATGCACTGTGCGGTAAAGTTACATTGCATCACTGACGTGCTTTATTTAATTCAACAGCATGCTTGAAAAGGCAGAATAAAATGGTCTAGGTTAGAAAGCCTTTCTAAGTGTAATCCATTGATCCATTGTTAGTGCAGAAACTGCAGCAGTCCGAATTGGGAGATTCTTTTAATAAACCAATTTTGGGTTTGTCTGCCAGCATTCATGTAAAGATACCGTACTCATCACACCAGGCTGGCTGATACCAATGGTCTGGCCATGATCTCCCCAGACTCCTTTAACAATGCAGAAATACTTCTCATTTGGAGCAGTATCATTTCTCTAGTAAGTATGTAGTTTGACTGGAAAATTTACAATAGTTCTCAGGAATTTGTTTTAATTAATGGTTCAGTAGGATGTACAAGGAACAATTTCTTTTAAGTCTATGCAGGGTCATAGATAATTGCAAATAAATAACGTTTCATAAAGATGACCTATGAAGGTAGATAAATTCCATATTATTGCTTGATAGGTGCTATGTGGTTTTGATGAGAAGAGTAGATTACAACCACTGAAATGCATGTCTTCTAAAAAGCTCTGATTCTGGTGAGATACTTGGGGAAGTAATAGCTTTGAAAATAAGAGTCATTAAACCTGAAAAGGTATCACGTAAATCCAGGAACTAGTCATTTCCACTGAACTGAGCTATCTAGTGTTTCATAACTGCAGCAAGGAATGAACAGAGATGTCATCTTTCCTTTGCTACTGCAAAGTTATGCTCATATTTGTCCTAAATAAATTGAAAGTCTGTGATGCATTAAGGTGTATATATCTTGTTTAAAATTATTAACTATAAAGAAAAAAAACCTCATTTTTCTGTAATACTTAGAACATTGTAAATAAATACTTGAATAGTAAATCCTTGAATAACTTATTCTCAGCAATGGTGGGATGCGAGTGTTGTTTTTACAGCAGTTATGAGTATGAGGGAAATAGGAAGGTGACCTGTGGGATGGCTAACAGCCAGTTTGCAGATAGCTTCTGCTTGTTAGGTTGGACAGCTGCAGCACAGACAGATTTTTTTTTTTAATGATTTGTTTTTCTTCTTTCTTGCCTACCAATTTGATTGCCAGGAGGATAAGGTACACATGTTTTTTCTACAGTTATAAACCAGAACTCTTAAATGCTAAAAAAAAACCCCAACCTTACTTGAGCTGTCATTTCCTTGCCTCTCATAAGTAACCTACGTGTATTTGAAGTTGTTCTTGCACTTTATTTTGCTGTTATTGAAAAACCTTTCCCATTATCCTATGTCCCCCATGTGCCCATCTTCCTGCTCTGCACAAGGGAACAAGTTACTTCAAAACAAGCAGACGTAACAATTTTGAACTGTTGGTTTACAGTAACCTGAACATGAAAGGAAAGATTCAGGAATTGGTCTAGCCAGCTCAATCAATGTATCTTGCTGAGTGTATTAGGAGAGTAAGAGTAGCACTGATTCAGGAATCAGATCTCTGTTAACTTGCAAAATCCATGAATTTCACTTAAAATATATGAAGTGAGGAATGGACCTTATTTATGAGATTTGAAAGACTACATGTAATGCTGTGTTTAAGAAATAGTAATAGAATTAAGATTGCAAAATTATGCTTCTTCAGTTTCAGTATTAGCAGCTGTTCCTGGTGATTTGAAATAAAATGCAAATTCATCATTTCATGAAACTTATTTTTGTTTCTTTTACGTGATGATCAAATGAAAAGAGGTTAACACATGTACCCGCTTATTATACAGACTGATATTTGACCATGTTGCATGCATTCATTTTAAAAGATACACCAAATGGATATAGAAATTATGGACCAACCTCCTGCTCAGCTACCCACGCTAATTTTGATGTGACTACTCAATGATTAGTGTTCCATGTGGGTGAAGTGACGAAAACATGGATTCAAAGAACAATTACGTTGTTAAATTTACCCTGGAAATCATCATTCTTTTTCCAGAATACCATGACAGATTCTACAATCCTCTTGGAGGATGTACAAAAGATGAAAGACAAAGGAGAAATAGCACAGGCATATATTGGACTGAAGGAAACAAACAGGTACAAGTTCTCTTTTTTACGATCACTTGGGGTCTGCTGTGACACACCGTATCTATCATATTCAGTAAGTTGCACCCATGTAAGTCTAGATGTTTAGAGAACACTTGTAGTTGGGGTTATAATTTGATTTGATTAGTAAAATTGCTGTATGCAGTATTTGAAAGGATTAGGAAACGATGGGGAAATGCAAAATCAAGCTTCCTGGATTTACATCTTCTTAGCCTTTAATTGCTACATTGCTCGAACTGAGTGCCATTCCCCATGCTGGTTTTTCACCTTTTGTCCAGCAGTTGTCACAACAGTCTGTCAAAATACAGTTATTGTGACAGCATGAAATGCTGTAACCAGTTGGGCTAACACCAAGAACTGAATTTTGTCATTAAGAAGAAACACGTATAAACAAGAAGTCATTTCCTAAGTTGTTTTAGAGCATTGTTTGTTGTTTCTCTTTTATAGTAACTGTAATTTAGTGTGTAATGTCCTTAACATGTCATCTCATCACCATCACGTATCTCTCTTGTATTTTTTAAAAACTTTTCTTGAAAGGCAATCTCCCCAGGACTATCATATGCTGAATGAGGACGGAGAACTTTGGCTGGTTTATGAAGGGTTAAAACAAGCCAACAGGTTACCAGACTTCTCAGAACGTTTTTTTTTCTTCATATGCATCTTCTTTTCTAGCTAACTGTGCCCCTTGCTATGGGTTTGCTTTAGCTACAGTATTTCTATTGCTTTAACAGTTAGAAAAAAATTTGTGAATTTTACAAATCAGAGTTTCCTCAAGCTTAGTCCCCAAACCTTTCTACTTGTCAAGTTTTATCATTTAAAAAGTTAAGATGGCAGCAACAACTAGTACATAATTCATAAGCATACTTAAACAAAAATAGACTGTAAAATACCAGGAGCTCCACAACTGGAGAAGATTTGTAGCCGTGTATTAGTTGTCTGCCTTTATGTCGTGTATCAAAAGTCACGTCCCTTACAGTTTTTCAGCCTAAAGAAGTACAATCATTTCAGTAATAAAACTATTGTTTGAGTAGCTTCAGTGTACTCTTAACTTTCAAACAGTTATGGGTCTGACTCTCCTTGTTGCGACTCAAGTTCAGTAAATTGATCATTCTTCTCCCACGTCTCTCCATGCAAGATTCAAAATGTAAGACACAAAATAACCAACAAACAGAAGTAATCTTTAATTCATCATGGCACTGTTCAAGCCTCAGTGCAATCACTGCAGTCTCTGCAAAGACTGCATGCCGGTCATGCAATGGGCAAGACTCGCCTTGTTCTGGGTCTGTGCGCACGTCTGGGCCCTGTATCCATACATGTGTCCCAGACTTCCAAAATGGTTCCTAGTCCTGCACTGGCAGGGCTAATTCAATAGATCAGCAGTGCTGATCATCTTCAATATACACATTTGGCAGTAGTAACTACAGAAGGAGGTATTTTGCAATGAATGCTACTAACTAAAGTCTTTCCTTTTCTTGTGCTAACAAATTCTACACCTAACATTGTCTTGTAAGCCTCTGAAGCTCCAACTTAGAGCAAGTGTTCTGCAGAGCAGGATGTGAGTGTTTGCTCTGCGCCTCGTTTCTTGTCCTAGCACTGTAGAGACAAGAAGGTTTATATTAAATGGCAGAGCAATGCAGGTAAATGACTATTTGCCCTTGCGTGCTTGATCAGTCTAGTTACTAATAAATGTGCCTGCCTTATGCATATTTAAACCCTGAAAGATTGTCTAATTGAACACTAGTAGTCAGTAGTAATGTAATTTCCTCTGTGTGTGTATGAACGAAATGATGAGTCAGAGCACTTGGACAGTGCCTTGCAAGCAGGAGTAGATCCCCACAGCACTGCTTGGCAGGAGGCTGGTACATGTTATCCCCATTTCACATGAGAAGAATTTGAGACGTGATCTGC